GAAAAATAAATAGAAATTTTAAAACTGCGTTTGAATAAAGCACACACGTTACATGAAGAAGATATTTATTTTACTTTAAAAAAATTTCCCGACATATATTTAGAATAAATAAAACAAATGCTACTAAAGTAATAACAATTAACAACACCCACATAATTTAGAATTCATTGACAAAATACACCTAGGCATATAAATTTTAGCATGGCACTAGAACTCAGACCCAACTCAATAAATCACTATATACATCAATGTCTCACAAAACATCATAAATCAATCTTAGATGAAGGGTAAGTAAAAATTAAATTAAATAAATTCATGAAACAAATATATCAATATTAGATTCCGTAAATGATCTCCATGCCTTTTATACATAACTATTTAGATCACAATCAATGTACCTCCTACATTTAAATAATGGAAGAACTCTTAATACCTGGACTAATAGTACCAAATGGTTAACAAAATGTTAATTGTCTACTCATGATTCATACATATACCATTCCTCTTAATAAATATAACATTCATAACGAATTTTAGTTTCAGGCACAATTAAACAAACTCACAAAAGCATAATTACGCTAATAACTAAACAGATAATATTATTTTATTACATTAAGAATGTATGAATAAAATGTATAAGTGTACATATTTTCGTTAAATTTAAATACGAAAAGTGTTAATGCTCATAACTAAAAGAGTAAACACCATACAGGGCTTTTTCCAAATGAATGCAGACGTGTGTAATAGCGTAATAAATCGTGGCGAAAGCATCAGCACGAAGACGGTGTAAAGCTGATTAATCATTTCATATGAGAGCATTTAAGGTGAATGTAAAGTCGAGCTAAAACGGATGTATCCAGATTCAACGCAAGATAGAATGTGCTTTAGTGGCAGAAAGTGATCTAACTTTTCTTTTGCTCAAAGCACCACATAGTTGTCACGAGTCATAATAACAATTGGTTCATAGACAGAAGCAATAGATTTATTAGACATCATTGTGTTATCCTGCCTAGAATCTTAGCAAATCCGATATTGTTGTATGCCATTCCCATTAAACTTCCACATTATTTGTTCATAAACTTTGTCCCAGACAGCTGTTTTAAACAGCAAATTGCTTTACAATAAATGTAGATAACTTTTAACACTTAAAAATCCAGCAAATGGACGCATTCACCTTAACTCGACTTCATCTTCCTTTTTTCTTTCATGTGAACATGTGAATCAGTTTTACGCATGCAGTGGAGCACGCTTCTAACCTCAATTAGTAACCCTGCAAGTAGGTACTTTATTTACGTCATACTAGAGCTGCACAATGAGCTATTGGCGACGGTCAGGGAATCATCTCTGAGTATGATCCAAAGACATGCCATCTCAATCATGCCTCTGCTTTGGTAGCCCGATGACCCACGCGCGAAGTTCAGCACTTTACGGTAGAACAGTTTAACGAGGACCTACATCGTGAAATCTCGATCCCTGCGCTGGCTGATCAAAGTTTTCACCCACCCACTTACTGACCACAGCTAGTGATGCTTGACTTCGGTGGTCTACTGGGAACCGTGTCTTTACGATCAGTCCACTGCGGGACGTAACCCTGTAGGATGGCGCTGCTTACGCTAGAAAAGAAATAAATTAATCATTCATTTTAAAACACCGTAATTTTTTTAAAATTTTCTTTCTCTTGTTTCCTTTGTTAGAAAAAGCTTATTTATATCTTTATTTTTAAAAAAAATATAAAATTAATTAATTTATCATAATAACTTTCGCATAATTTTAAATGTTAAGGAGTGGTAGCAAGTAATAAATTTCTAAGCGATTTGCACAGAAATTCGAAAGTGTACAAAATTCTACAGTTCAGATTTCAAAAATATAAATTTTAATATAAGATATGCTATACTAGCGTTATTAGCCCACCCCTATGTTTCTTTAAATAAATAAAATAGTTATGAACCTCTTTTTTAATGAAGTATGTAGTCTGCATTCTTTGTAATAAATAATTATTTATAATAAATAATTAAAATACCCATAAAATTAGCTGCCTTTTATTAATAATTAACTAAACTGAAAAGAATTAGTCAATTTTTTTTAATTTTTAATTTTAGTTAATTATTAATGAAAGGTAATAATATATTTAAATTTAAAGTGCGATATAAAAAATGAAATCTTTATCTACGACATACTCATGAGAAGCTTAGTACTATTTCTTTGCCCCATGTACAAGTTGCATCAAACAATCGATAAATAAATTATAGTTTATGCGATACTTTTTTTTACATAAAGTCTAAAATTTAAGCAATTCACAAAATAATTATTAACGTTATAGCAATACATAAATGAATGAGAAACAATATATGTAAAATACAAACTAAAAAATGTTATAACATAAAATATTTGTAAAGTTTAAAATTATTAAAAGGGTACTTCTTTATAATACTAAAACATATAGCACCAAAAAATGTAAAGAAATTTAATGTAAATGTAAAGAAATGTAAAATAATGTAGTACATAAATGGCAGCTTAAAGGCTTGATGATCAAATTCAAATAAAAAAGAAATACAAACTATTGATAAAAATTGTTGTACAACATTTCTTCGACTCCTTTTTCATTTATTCTTAATTAGTTGCTTAATTACCATAGTAAAATATTTATTCCAAAAAACTAGCAACTACTTTTAGTTACGTCAATAAATATACAGTATTCTTTGAATTGATAATAGATTTTATGAATTTTCAAAATGCTTTGGAAGAAAGAAATTTAAAATTTTAAAAAATGACAATTAAGAACTACATAAGAACAGTTTGAAAAGCCAAATGATTTAACATTTAACATTAACAAATGATTGAACATTTAAATAAAAAGTTAAAACGCAGTATGCCTATGATGCAACAAAAAGTTAGTCACTAAAAGGAAAATTATTAGTACTAAGAAGTGAAATAAAATGAGGATATATAAATTATAAGTAGCAGCAAAAATCGTTAAAAATCCTTAAATTAAAAAAATAAGTAATAAATAGGTTCTACTGATTATGTTAATGAGGCTTTGAAGTATATATAAATTATAAAAAAATTGAGAGAAGGTATGGGATCAAAGATATAAAGTGTTGAAAAATGTTTAAATATCTAACAAACGTTAACTTAAATTTTAAAAGTTTTAAATTAACTCATTTATGAGTAAATTTAATAAAAATGTGTTAAAATGGTAATTGTATTTAACTTACTTTAGCTATATAACATAAAATCCAAATATCCTTTTCAAAATTCGGTGTCATATGGAAATTTATATAAGAAAAGAAATATTATCTGAGAACATGTAACTTTTTTGTACTACCTAAATGTTTTTCATTCAGTTCTTTTACAGTTTTCTTTATTTAGGATTCTTTCTTTCATACGATTTTGATCAGGTTTGAAAAAATAATTCATGTTAGTTGCCTTAACTCATATTATTTTTACTTATACTAGACTATATAAAGGTACTTTATATATAAATTTAATATTGCAAATTTAAATTTTTAAAGGAAAGCTTCTTAAACAATGTCGTATTTATAACCATTTTTTCATGTCTGTTATCAGATAGGATATGACATTTTAAAGAATAAAAAGATCGGAAAATTAAATAATTAAAAAAAAAATAATTCCTAAAATAACTGCTAAGCTATATTATTCAGTTACATGAATGATAAATGAATATATAAATATTTTTAGTTCATCTAATTATTGTAACAAACTACCACACAAAAGATTTTGCTTCATCAACCAAAAACAGAACATTCGAAACAGCTGCTTACATATCTTTCCTTAGCAGTCTTCAATGGCAAACATGCGTCGCCAAACATAAGTACCAATTGTCTAGTTTTAAAAAAAAGTGAATACATATATGACATCATTTTCTGGCCAGCTCTATTTAGTTATAACAAAACTTATACTTTTATTAATTGTTTTATGTAACCTTTTTAAAATGTCCTTTGTGCATTTTAGTACAAGAATAACATCTGACAAAGTGAAAGTTTATTTTCGGGAAGTAAGTTTGAGAAAAACATTTTAGGTTTTATGTTACTGACAGATACATTTTTAGTTCCCTGTCAACTAATTTCTGAATGTTAGAAAATTATTTCGTTAAACAATATTTTAAATTTTTTATATTTTTACTTAGAAGTGTCTACGAATGCTTATTTTATGATGAAAAAATAATATAAAGTGTTTCAAAAATATCTCTCATGAAAGGAGATTTAAAGGCACCGAATTAAGAAAACTACCTCCTCAACATATATTTTATTTAAATAAAATTAATTAAATAAAATTAATTAAATCAAAGCGAAAAGTGAAATAAAGATACCACAATTCAGTAAAATGAAACATAAATCTTATCGGAAGGAATTATTGAAAGAATAGGTATTCTTTTATATTATTTCGAAGACTTTACGGTTTGCTGTTGTTTAATAATAAATATTTCCTAAAAAATACCATAAATTTAGAAAATGATGAGTTATTTTTAAGAAACAGATAGCTGAAAATTAAACTAGATTATATGTTAGTTTTCTTAAAAACTAAGCAGATAATAATACTTATTTTGCTGTTAAAAGTTTTAACAATAATATCAAGTAATTAATCCACACCAGCACTTTTTTTTAAAATTTAAAGTGCTTTTTATTAGATTACAACGGTAAATATATCATAGAGTCAAATATTTTGCTCATGATCAATACCAGCATTTTTTCGCTTAATTAGTTTAATATTTATTATTTTTTTAAAGAATTTTAGTTAATACAATTTGTAAAATGGTTTATTTTGACATTTCTATCGTGTTACATGCATTTTGAATAAACAACAGAGACTTTTGAATAAACAGAGAGACTTTGCATGTGAGCAATTAGATTTGTAAAAAATATAACGGAAGATGAAATAAATATTTAATGCGGCATATGCACATAAAAAATCATTGATCCCATCATTTAAAAAATAATGCATTCTAATATAGACAAAGAAATTCTGTGAAAAACATGAAATTAAATGTTTTAGTTTTATTTCATATTTTCGAGTATTTGCAAAGCATGTCATTAAATTCTGCAAGAAAATATTGTTAAAAATCTACGTCGATGATTTTTTATGACTAAAAACAAAAATACAAAACGATTATGTACATGAAAATATTTCACTCTTCATAAATTCAATGTTTTTCACTTTTTCCGTGTTCCGTTTGCTTAGTAGTGCACTAGAGTCAAAAGCAAATGTGTCCTTTTCGAAGCCACGTCAAACTTGCTTTTTACACAAAAAATTCTTCTTTTTATATATTTGACCTCAGCATTTAACTGTAGTTGGTGGCAGTGGACAAGCCCAGGCTACTGCCTGCAGAAGCCTTGATGTTGCGATATTCCCGTGAAGTGATAATCTGCAGAACTTCTTTTAAAAAGGAACAGTTGACACGAATATAGAGCACAATTCACTCACACAGAGCACAACGCAGAGTATATTTTTAATTAGTCCCAAAAAAGTAATTTTTATAATAAACCTGAAAGAAAATGTAATGTATTTTAACAAATTTTCAAATAAAATCAAAAAGAGACACAACAGATCATTTATTTCAATTTACACCTTGGTTTCCCCAAAAATACACTAAATAATAAACTCACACATGAATATAATCTTTTATAAACTTAATTACATAATTGAGCATACTTAAAAGGCCTCTACCCGCGCCATTTTGGATTTTAGGTTAAATTTTTAATTTGTGTTTTCTTGATATTTTTTCTGCTTCACAAAATTTTGATACCATAGTATTATTAGACAGCGCAATATCTTTTGAAAAAGGTCAAAAAGAAGTTGCTATATTAGATTAGAAGAAATAGCATTTGATATTTTTTTTGGAACTATTTCCGCAATACTTTAAGGCAATAAAATTTGTGATTTTTGAGTAAGTAATTTAACAAAACACGTTTCTCAGTTTTTAGAATTCTTGAAATCTAATTTTATTACAGTTTCAACTAATGTAAACCGATTTGAATAACGCTAAACGTTTCTTTGAACGCTAATTGCATAAAAACAAAGACACTCACCAAAAGTTTAAAAACAGGCAACTGTATATTACCTATCAAGAACTGTTAATTACAGAATTGTATCGGCATAAGGAAAAATTTATAGCATAAAATTATTGGCATAAGAAAAAATGTAAAATACCCCATGCTTCAGATCTCAAATTTGATTGGGTAGCGGCTTTGCATTTTGCATGTATTGAAAGATATTGCCAAATAGAGTAAATATCTATCATCAGTCTATTCGTGAAAATCAAATAAAAAGGACTAAAAGCATATTTAGAGTTTTGCCTCCCCCCTCCACCCCTTCGACAGCTGAAATCGGTTAGATGAGGAATAACCTCTAACTGAATGTTATCTCAAATCTTTCCTTCATCAAAGCAACTCCTTTTAAAAGCGTTCACCGTTCCTTCACATTTGGAGAATTGTATTGATAATTTATTTGAAAGTAATTTTATTGAGTTGATTACTGAATGTTATTCAAAATGTACTAAACCACCTGCCGCATATGATTTTGGCTTGTTATATTTATATATCTGATTGAAATGTTGAAATAATCCCAAATTAATTTGATAGGGCAGCATTTTAAGCTCTGAGACTCATATAATTTCTGGTCATATAAATCACGGTCAAACAATAATTTTGCATACCATCAAATGCATAACGATAAAATGCAATAAGCTTTGCTCTAAAATTTTCAACAACGACTGTATTGAAGATTGAAATGAACCTTTTTTTACTGCTGGAACAATAAGTGGACCAGAATGACTTCATCGTGCAAAACGCCATAAGTTAAAGGTTAATGAACGGCAGTTTAATTGAGGTTTAAAATCCAATTTTAGTGATTGAACATAAGCATTACGCAATTTTGAAAGAAAAGCTGAATTTCGAATATTTAATAGTAAATCAACTTTCAAGTGACCTATTAATATTTTTTTGGACATTATAATGTATATCATCTAACATTTAGATAAATAAAAAAGAAAAATTGTTGTTATTCAGTGATTCAGTGATTTGATGGTACGTTTTACCGTAATTTGATCTAAAATTTTTTACAGTGTTTTACTAACAAGGATCGAGGTTTTTGCGAGGAACCGAAGAGGTAATTTCTGTTACAGAAAGTTATTTTGGTTATGGAATAAAATGAATGCAAAACATTTGTCTTTTTCGTAATATTAAAATTATTGGAATCATAAGTTTAGGAAATAATATAATTATAATAAATAAAATTAAAATTATTTTGAATATAAGTTTAGGCAATCGTGAAACATTCACCAAATTTGTGACAAATAATACAGTTGGAAAAATCACGTCTAAGATAAGTTTAAAAAAGTTAATTCCAAACGATTTCTCACCAGAGTTCTAATTAAGCTAATAAACTGTTATCATTCAACATTGGGGGCAATGAGAGGGCCGACTCGAAAACAACAAAAAAAATTGCTTTCAATAAGCAGATTTATATAGGAGTGTTTGTATGAATTACTCAAAACAATAAAATTTTTAATTAATTTTATAATTTAATCTTTTAAAATTAGCCTTTTAAAACATAAATGTTAAACGTTTGTGATTTCGGAGAAGTGTCTTAAATTTAAGTAACCTGTTATAGCCAACAATGTTTTCCCTTAGTGGAATGAACAATTATTAAATGGCGACGTACTTATTGTAAAAATTGATGTTTTAGAGAAATTACATTTTAATAATAACTTTGAAATTGACAAAGTAAATTTCATATATGATTTTAGAACCTAAAACACTGTATATAAAAAAAATCCACCCGATTGGTGAATGACATTTCAATTAGCATCCTCGTAAAAGGGAAAATTATTTTTGTATTTTACTTACATTTTACTAAGATAATAAACTAATTATGTATAAAACTAATGTAATCTATAGTGATAAGTTGATCAAAATTTATTTGCATTTGTTTAAATTAAAAAAATGGCGCACGAAATAAAATCAACTGATTATACAATACCAAAGATCATGGAGGTGCAACTTCTAGTAGTAATCCAATCTGATGATCGGGTGCACACTTCCCACAAAAGCCCCCACATTTCCCTTGTATTACATGTCCACCCTAAAATTGAAAGAAATATGACGTATTTATAAATTGTGTATTAGTTAAATACAAGGGAACTTAAAGACAATTAAAATAATAACAATTAAAAAAATCACTGATTTCCTACGTAATTTTACGAATTTTTCTAATTTTGTGAAAAATATCTTTATAGCAGTGTTAAGCCCCTCAATCTCATTTATTGCTCTCATATCAAGCTTGCTATTTCACTAATAATTAAAGTATTCAAGTAATGTAGCCAACTGAGCTTTATTTGTCTACAGAAAGTGGCTTTAATAAAGTTACCTTTTTAAGAACAACATTGAAATCGTTCAGGTTGACAAAGGTCAATAAAATATTAAATAGACCATGGGAAAAAGAAATCTACAATTAAAAAAAAAAACTGTTCAAATTTCGATTACTAGTTGAAAAAAGGGTGCTCATAAAGATATTCTATTTCATAGTTTAATGCGCATTTCAGTTTCGTTAAGTTCGTTTTCAAATTGCGCATTCTTTATAGCGTGAAATTCCTTATTGATTAATTGTAGCAGCGAAGTGCATCAATCTAACTTTGTTTGAAAACCGCATGTTTTCTACCTTGCAGCACTCTTAGCAAACCTATATTTTCAATGTCTGCCTCGAAATTGTTTTCTCACATAGGCAATTCAAACTTCAATATTTTTGCATTTAACAAGTGACAAAAAACGACTTTTTTGAAAACACTCGTTCTAGCTTTTCCATATTATGCAAAATGATGTACCCTTTCGCAGTAGCGACTACTGACTTTTTTCTTATTGCTTAATGTACTGTCAAAGCTTCATATGTTGGTATCGATATATGAATATTCTTTCACAGTAGATTGCTTTTTACCAAGATCTAAATAACATTATATGCCAAGTTTCATCGACATCCTTCTATTAGAACAGACTCTATGTTAGTCTAAGCAAGATAACTTTAATTATAACGTAACCACTCTGAACAATAATTTGAGGTAGGGGAAAAATAAGTGAAATTATTTTTGTTTATTTACTTTTAATTATAGAAGCGTATGAAGAAAAATAAATTAGTCAGTTTCTCCCAAAAAGCTATAAAAATAAATTTTATGGAATTATCTTCAAGATATTTAATAACATAATGCACCACGGCACGAAAAATGCCACAACTGAAAATTTTACTAATTTTATTCTCCGTAGATTTTAAGGTTTGAAATCGTGCCTTGATGATGATAAAACGGCTTACCTCAGTTTATCATCTTAATCATAAAAGGATTAAATCAGTAAGTTGAACTTTTAGTTTTAGTTATGAAGTTTTGTGATTATTATAATATAACGATTATTTTTTATAACGATAATAAAAAAATATAGCGATTATTTTCTATATTTCCAATCATTTTACGATTATTTTCTACACTTGTTCTTACTTTTTAGGAATTGTTTAACAGTTTGAGAAATGTATTAATAAATTCGACTTTGTTTTCAAACTGATACAATATTAAAATGAAATACTCACAATCACCATTTCTTCATGCAAAAAAATATGAGTCGTAGTGGCTCAGAAGGCAGAACGCATGCCTCCCAATGAATTGACCTAAGTTCGAATTCTAGCGATGACTGGTCGATACAAATTTTGACGACGTGAGATAATCACATCAGGTGCTAGTACAGATTTATTATGGATTTTTTTAAAAAAATTTTACGGGGAAACAATTATTCTTTAATGGTAAAAAAAGCCGTTGAAGCTACGCTTTTACTTCATAAATTTTTCGGTTTTGATCAACCAAACCAGATGCTTGCTTAAAACCCTAAATTTTTCTGGATTTTTTGACAGCGTAATCTTTACAGAAATATTTTCTGAATCACTGCAATTAAATAAGCATTATAGTGAAAATTACGGGATAAAATTTTAAGTCAAAAATGGTTTTTACGGATGCTGTACTCAGAATGTCAGTACCTTTGCTGTAATTTTATACAGAATTTTTTTTATAGTGTTGCTTGAATATTATTTTTACATTTACAAAATGAATCATAAACAATTGTATATTAATTAAAATATCGTAACATTTAACCGTTAGTATTATAATGCTTTTACCTCTAACCATCGTATTCTGCTAGAAGGATAGTTGCCGTGCGTTATCCATTTAGTCATTGGAGATACAATAAAATCAGTTCCAAGTAAACTTAATGAAAATCTTCCTTGAGGACAAGAAGACATACTATAACAATCTCCAGACTCACCAAAAGGAATGCTTTGTCCAGAATGAGTTTTTGAATAAGTTAGATCATGCGCTAAAAACATAAAAAAAGTTATAAGAAATGCTGGTATACTTTTCTTGATAAGTTTATTATCAAAAAAAGTAATAGAATATCAAGAAAGTTCAAATTTAACTTATGTTCTTATCATTATTTCTAAAACATTCAAGAGTTTTAAAATTACTAAATATTTTTCAATCTAAAAGTTGAACTATATTCTGTTAAATAATGTTGAAAATCAAGAAAAGAAAATATGTTAAATTATATTGAAATTTTTGCTCTGATACTTCCTTCAAAACCTTTTTGCTGACTAAGCGATTTAGATTTAACCTAATGTAAAATGTTTTAGGGTATTGTTGCCTTATTTCTGGTGTTTAGGAAAAACTAAAATTTTTCAACGGTGCATGTAGTTGGAGTGTTTATTTACCTTTTCAGAGTTTTAGATTCATTTTTCATTTTTTTATTTGTTTACTGACTTGTCTTTGATTTGTTTACTTTGTTTACTGTTTTCGAGAGCATTAGAATCGATTTAATGGCTTCGTTGCGAAAAAACATTTCGTTTAAAAAACAAGCTCATTTTTCGTAATATATTTACGCTAATTCTTTCAAATAATTGTTATTTTGTCAATTTTCATATAATTTTTTTTGCATGGTAGCTACAGATCTCTGTATTTAGTTTAACTTAGCACCAAAAATGGTTACAACTATACACCAAAATTTTCACAGTGTAGAGCTATCATGAGTAAACAGATGGACAGTTAGTTCACCAGGATTTGGCACTTGGTTCCATTTTTCGGACGCTGAGTTCATCTCATCGCGGGAATAAGAGGAGAAATATCTCCACGCTTGAAATTGAGACAATCCTTAATGCGTGCCAAGCGTAAACAGTGAATTCTATTATATCATTCGTTACTCTAACTAATTAAACATATTTTAAATTTAAAAATTGCTGCTTTTGCAAAATGGCTCAAAAAGGATAAACTATTGATTCAAAAGAGAGAAACATCATCAAATTTATGAAATACTTAATGTTAAGAAAATGCACATAAAGATTGCTAAATAAATATTTTTGTCATACGATCTCAACAAATAGCAACTTTCAATCAAATAGCAACTTTGCACAGGATTATTCACATCCTTCTCCCAAAAATAGCGAAATAGTATCGTCGGATATCATGTGATGTAGGTCGAGCCAAGTGCCAACTCCTGGTGGACGAACTATAGTTTATAACGAGAGCCGAGTTAGCCTGGTTGGTAGGGTGTTGGACCCTTGTTCAAGGGGTTGTGAATTCGATCTCCGTCGGCTAAAGTCTCTCCATGTAGTAAATGGTGACTGGTGCACGTTAAATCTGTCGGGCATAAAGCTCTTCAAGTTCCCATGACAAATTATCCCTCTGGAGGTAGTGAATTGGAGATTGATCGTCGTGGATCATTCGTACAATTTGTGGATGAATAAATGAATGAATGAATGGATGGATGTAGGAATGAGTCAGCTCTATAAACGGGCTGTGACACGTGTATTCTTGGCCATATATGGCACCACTGAGAAACAAGAAACGCACCCTCTTTCTAAAATCGCTTGGTTTTGCCAAGAAGGCTGGCTATTTGGCAAGTGGCATTAGAAACAACAGCAATAGTTTATAACGATAAACTAACTGTTACTGGTTAAAGCTCTGAACTATATAGTTAATTGAGACTTTAGATTAGCATGCAAAATAAGTTAAAAATGAAATAATTTTCAATGCAACTTTTTAATTTAGATTTTACTGGAACTTTTAAATTAACTAAAATATTAAAAATTCTTACTAAAGACTGATAGAGAGGTAATATTAATAGCAATTCGTTGAAAAGTAGTAAGACCAGATCCAATACTATTGTCTATCGTGCAGTCACATGAATCAAAGCGAGCTCCTCTGTATGGGCATGTTTCAGGATATTTCAATCTAAAAAAAAGGAATAGTTAATTGTTATTGTGTAATTTATAGTTACCAATAATTAAATTTTAAATTATTATGAAATCAACTTAAAGCATACTCCACCGATTGATTTTAACTTTAAACTGTATACTTATCATTACATTTGTTGCATAAGTGCACGTAGGATTATATTATTTATTTCGATATTTTTCTGTCATAAATAGTTTTCTTGGGAGTTTTATTTGGGTGTTTTTATCTTTGAAATTTTAAAATGGATCATTTTTGCAGAAATAAGTGCATCAATATTTCCTTATGCACTCCTTTAGATAATGGTACGTATGATTGCATAATGAAAAAAATGCTCATTTCCAGCTAAAAAAAATTGCAGGTGCTGCTGATTTAACCATGCAATCTCCATAAAAAAATTTAAATCACTAAAACAAATCGAAACAACCCAAAAAGAAATCGAAAATCATTGAAAAAGCTGTACAGCCGCATTTTATAATGCATCGCTTTAAAAATTTAGTTTTTTTTAACTAGTAGCAAAGCGAAGAACTTTAAATTGTAAACTTATGATTAAATTGACGACATGATTTAAAAAGACTTACTTATTTCCATATTTTTTGTCTTAAGCAGCTTTTCTGGAAATTTTATTTGGAAGTTTTGAACATAAAAATTTTAAAAAGTGTCATTCTTTTAAAAATCAGTAATTTTTCAGCAATTTTCCTCACTTCTGTGCATAATGGTATATATAATGAAAAAAAGGTTTGTGTCCCAGCTAAAAAACATGAAGATACTGCTGGTTCAGCCGCACAATTTTCAGAAAGAAAAGCAAATCGAAATTCTCAAAAAAAAAGAAAAAAAAAGAAAAAAAAGATGAACAATCGAAAATTATTGAGAAAAAGCTGTACAGCCACGCTTTTATTTACTATGTGTCGCTTTTGAAGAACTTCGTTTTTCAGTTCACGTATAACATAGAACTTGTACAGAATTTTATTTTGATTTTTTTCCACTGTTTCACTGCAAAAAATTATCATATACTTATTTTTTTCACCGAGTTGCCTCATATTTTAGCTAGCATTTATTTCATTACTTGATTTTTAAGTATTATTTAATATATTCTTAGTTACCTTTTATTATACACTTCTGAATAATTGTCTTGCTCTCCTCTAACAAGAGTAATATATTCTTGAGGTGTACTTGTACTCATTTTTGCGCAATACACTTTAACATAACGCCCCCGCACAAAAATTTCTTGCTCACCATCTACTGTTACGTTACCTCTTTCTTGAAAATCTGCGCAACTGATTGCAGAACCTAAATATGCAAGATATAAAAATTAAAACTTTATTAAAATACATTTGAAAATTTATAAAATGTTTGATTCCAAATCAGAAATACTCCTAATATATTTTAAAGGCAATATATTTCCAATAATTTAATATTTAGTAACTAACGCAAGTGATTTCTAAAAGTTCTAAAAATTCTTAATAAATATACAAAATTTTAACAATTCTCTGACATTTGAAAAGCTGAAATAATTATAAAATGTATTAAAATGTCCAATACTGTATTATACTCAAACTTCTTGCATACGTTAGACGTGAATAGTTTATGGTTTTTGAAGCATTGTAAAATGTTAAATGTATAAAAATACTGTAACTCATTCGCATATAAAAGTTTAAGCTAATTATAAACTGTGTTCAAAAGTAAAAAGTAAATAAATAATAATAACTTTAAAATAGCTAAATGCCAGTAAGTAAAACGAATAAAATCTGCCATAAATGGAAAAAAAAAGTTTTTTTCAATAAATTTATTTAATAAAATAATTATTTCCTTAAATAAATTTATTGTTTACAAAAAACTCTTGCAATTTAACATTATACTACATGTAATTTAACATAATTCTGTTTTGAGCTATTTTGACATTCTGAATAGAAGAAATTTTATGAAACTAATAACATCAAAATTTTTAGCTATATATCTGATGTCATTAGTTTCATATAATTTCTTCTATTCACTATAATTTATTCCACCAACTTATATCCTTTGATTATTCGGTTCTTTTTTTTTCATTTAACAGAAAGTACCGATGCAATATGCGTTGTATATAGGACTTTTTCGTAATAGAAATTGCTTCAAACTTTAGTCATTATTGAATGAAAAAAGTTTTTAAAAATCGAGTTCCCTTACTTAATTGATAAAAATTACGAACAAAATAAAAAAAATGTATGTTCCTGCAATAGAAAATTCCGCTAAACGTGTTACATTTTTATCAAATTAGAATTTTAAAAAAATGAATAAATATTTTTTTATTTTATTACCGTCGTTGAACAGCCGACCCAATATAAAACATAGAAATTACCGAGATCGAAACATAAAGTTTCGTGAAACGCTATTAAGTTTGTGATTTCTTAACTAATATACTTGCTCTTCAATGAAATGTTCGCTGAACATATGTAATGATTTTTTTATGCCTTTGGAAAAATGTTTTTAAATCTGTAATGACTGATTTGAAAACGCGTCTAATTATATATATATATATNTCAAAAGACGTTTGAACAGGTCGGTTAAAAAGACACCAAATAAATAAAAACGGATCAAACTACTACAGCGCCATCTTCCTTAGAGTCTGAACTAAGTCCTCCATTGGTAAAAATTTTTTTATTTGCAATTTAAAATAGTGAAAATTAAATAAAACTAAAATGGGTAGACTCGCCCCTGGATGGGTAGACTCGCCCCGGTTTACGGTATAATAAAATATATAAATAAAACTATTCATGCTTTTAAAGTTATGACCTAATCATAAAAGGGATTTCTTTTGAAAATTTCATTTCGATGGATAATAGGTGAAAATTATAGAATGAGTAAGTATGTTATTATAAAGTGAAACTTACAAGGGCGTAAATGGCAACGCCGTCTTCTTTGTGGTCTATATTTCTCTTCACATAAAGTGTTATTTAAACGTATTTCATTACTATTGTAACAATGTACTTTTCTTCGTTGTCTTCCTGTACCACATTGCACCGAACACTGAAAAATAATAAATGCAAATTCATGCTTTTTACAATAACATCAGCACATTTTTAAGCATACAGACTTGTTAATGATGAAAGATGATACATATTTCTAAGTGTTTGTCATTTCCCTATTTAAAATAAGTAAGCTCACGTAAGTATTGAGTTAAATTTCATTAAAAAATAAAAAACTTTAGGGAAAAAAAAATCTACGGAAGTTTTTAAGCAGAGCTGAAGCTCTTTATCAGAGGCTTCAGTTATGTACTTTTGATTTCTTTTCCTGTTCTATCATAAATGAAATATCAAATTTATACTAAGAAACAATTAATAATATTTAATCAAACTATTTTTAATAAAAAAGTGCATATGAAAACAGAGTAGTTAAAACTTTATTGTTTGGCACTATCGTTATTACTTACAATAATAGGTTCCCTATCAAATTATAAATGTATTGTTGTACCTAATATTTTGTTGTATGTGGTAGAAAATTTGAAATAGACGGCAAAACAAAGAAATGATTAATTTGCTTGTAAATGACTAGTTCTAGAAACGTTTCAACGAATATATTTATTAGTAATTCCATTGAAATTACGTGTTTAAATATAACTTTTCTTATTATCAAATATTCACCTGATCAAAAACTTTTATAATTTTTTTTTATCAAAATTAATTTGCATTTTGTGTTAACTTATTTTAAAATGTTTAATGTATCTGGTCGATAGCAATATAGAAAAAAAGTATTATCTAAACGAAGCAATTCATACTTGTTGCCATGGTCCGACTTTCCAAACATTACCACCACAATCACCCAAGTTACATCCTCTCGTTACTGATGGTTTATCGTCCAGATTACACCAAAATTCATTGCTGTTTGGTTGTGGTACAGAGTCAGGATTTATCCATTTGTAAGGATTCACTCTGTGGCATGTTACATCACGCGTTTGAACACCTTTCCCACATGTTTTTGAACACTGAAAGTAACAAATAAAAGTTCAGGATTAAAGCAAATTTGAATTTTATCAATCAAGTTTGGGATGAAACTGAACTCTGTTATTTTTCTTTCCATGTTTAAGAAATATATATAATTTAGCACTGACCTCTGACCATAAACTAGTCATCCATGCCATGGCGCACTGGTACTGATGACATCTTCGTTTTGTCCTTGGTTTCTTTATGTGGCTACAAAAACTGTCATTTACTGTCTCATTCTTTCCACTAGCACATGTGACCTCTCTAAATTTATGGCCCTTACCACATTTTGTAGAGCACTGTTAAACGAAATAGTTTAAATTAGAATGGTATGAAATTCAACGTATGTGAGCTTCCTGAGCTCTCTTCTCCCCATCTGCTTTTAATCATTTAATCAAATTGTATTATATATATATATATATATACGCCAAAGAGCCATTACATTATGACCACCCTCCATCTATAACAATAGGCTCACCCAGGTTTTCATGGGGCACATTAGGATCCATAATCCTCATAGAACAATCCCTGGCGTCTGTAAGCAACTTGAACATAGTTGCAGACCAGGTTCACCCATTCATGGCAACATTGTTTCCTGCGGGGGATGGTGTTTGCTAACAGAATAATAAGGGTCGAATCGTCATGGATTGGTTCGGGGAACATTCCAGCGACTTTCAAGTCATGTCTTGGCCCCCAAATTCACCTGACCTTTATCCAATAGAACATTTGTGATCCTACTTGGAAAACCAATTTCGTGTTGCCAAGCTACCCCCTAGCAATGTTAGGGAATTGCAGGACCAGTTGGTGAGTGCTTGGTACCAGATACCTCAGACTACCTATCAGCACCTTGTGGAATCAATGCCACGGCGGGTGCTAGCAGTTTTGAGGGCTAAAGGTGGTCCTACATGTTATTAGCAGGGTGGTCATAATGTAATGGCTCTTCGGTGTATNAGAGAGAGAGAGAGAGAGAGAGAGAGAGAGAGAGAGAGAGAGAGGGATAGAGATGCCAACTTGCTCTGGACTGCGGAAAAATATTTTCGAGTGGTAGTTTTTTAATGTATGGTTTTTGGTTTAATAAATATCGATTTATAGAGTTTTAATTACCACTGCTTCTAAATAATTTGAAGGCTTATGTCTTACGCCACTCTGTTACAGTTAAGCTTTTTACAATTTACCGGGGGAAACCTAAATCTCCCTCCTTTTTATTGTTATTTATGTTTAAATCTCTCTAGCATAACACAATCATAAGAAGTTTAATGGTAAAAATAATCCATTGTTCTTACCTAATTACTGGCCATAAAATTTTCGAAAAAGGATAAACATAAAGCGTTGTTCCCTTGAAGTAGTAGGTAATGGGGGAAGATGAGGTTAATTTCGGTTTCAAGAGGTCAAGAGGTTATTTTAAGTAAAAATCTGCAGAAATCCTTCAGGGTGGTTTTTCATGCAGAGTAATGCAATTTATTTTATAATTGAGGAAAATTTATTATAAGTTATTTAAATTAATTTTGATAAATGAAAAAATATTGCATAATGAAAAATATGTTTTAAGAAAAATTTATTATTACCTTAGAGGTATGTCATGCTTAATTTTATGATACTGTTGTAGTGAAATGATGCAATAAAAAAGTAGGTAAAGAAATAATCACAATAAAATGTCTTACCTTTGACCATTTTTGCTTTCGCCAGTGAAAACTGCAACTTTTATTTTTGCACATTTTTGTTTCTGGTGAGGGTTTTGAAAGAAGTCCACAGTTTTCATCGCTTACAACTCTCTGCCCTCGCAAGCAGCGAGCAACTCGAGTTTGGTAACCTTGTCCACAGCTTGTAGAGCACTGAAATTAAAATAATTATAGCCACGTAAAATTTCAGAAAGTAACTAAAAGTAACTTTCAAGAATTAATAAAAGTCGGAAATGTTTATATTTAATTTAAATGGTAGAAATTTTAAACACTGTTGCTACCAGTTACGCTTATTTTGAGAATAATGTAGTTAGGTGTTCTGCTTTTTGTCTTGAATTTGGTTTCAGTCAGCAAAAACAATTTTTTATTAGCTTTTAAGTGATTTGGAGCAGCTACTTAGTATTTTTGAAACAGTTTAGAGTAAAATTGTATAATTTTTAAGAAAAATACATCTATCTACTAGAAATTACCAGTAGTAAAAGCTTAACTTCCTATTCTTATCTAAAGTAAATTTTTTGGAGCATTTATAGTACAATTTCCTTAAAATTGTTTGTTTCAGGGAAGACTTAGCAACATTTTTAGAAAACTTCCGAGCCAATTGAATTACTTCTGAGTTCCAAAGTAATTTAATTGGATCAAGACTGAAGTTGGTTTTGAGTAACTTAGTGGAAAAAATGCCTGTTTTGAAACAGATTGGGTATATAAAGCTAGAATTGCGTCACATCTATGTCATTTAAAGTAAAATTGTGTTTTGTTCTCTTGAGTAAATTGCTCAAAAATTTTTTGATATGAGTTAAATGTGAATTAAATATTTAATGTAGGCTAATTAGCTCTGATAATTTTGAATCTTGCATATAAAGCACTTGTAAAGCTGTAACTGGTTCACTGAATAAAAAGTATGATCAAAACTACCAGAATATTGTAAAATTTATTGAATCTCTGGCTCGACGTAAACACCAAAAAGCTCTGTAGTTTTTAAGGAAACGCTATGGTAATGCATTTCGGTAAAATTAACAGAGAAATAACGTTTTACAATATGCGTTAAAATTTGGTAAATGTGACAAAACCTATTTATTTTATTATGATACCTTATAGCATGGCATAAAAAACCAGTTTTGTTTCGGTTAATTTTGCTTTTCTATTTGGTTTTTTTACTGTGTGTTGCAATGAGAATTGTAATTTTCAAGACAAGAATTTCTGGTAAATCATTTCCCTACATGGACGAAAAAGTGCTTTATTACCAAAGTTGTCTTTTTTTTTTCTTTTTCTTTTTTTAAAGAAAGAAGAAAATATATCACCATGCAATACGATATCTTTACCTGAATTTTTTTTCTCTGTATTAAAGCGTTCGTTTTTTGCTTCATATTTTTTAAATTTATCTTAATATTCCTTATCTAAGGCAATAAAGATAAGTAATTCTAGAGTCTTATATTTATCTTAAGTATTTTAATCCCAATTTTTAAGTAAAGATATATTAATTTTTTTCAAGTAAATCATTTAAATACCTGTGACCAAGAAGACCAAGACCAATGCAGGCATGGAATGAGTTTGCAACGTTTCTCATTTTCCGGAGTAGGAGCTTCACATCTTTCATGGTTCATCACATTACCTTTATTATTAACGCATTGCACACGACGAGTTTGTTTGCCTTTCCCACAAGAAACAGAACACTAAAATAGAAAAGTCACATGAATCATCATAATATTAAGATTAAAATTTTTGCAGTTTTACCAGTTATTGAAAAATATCATCGCCAAAACATTTCTCTAAATTGATAAAAGAGAAATATTCGTTATCAAAATTTTGATTTAACAACAATACGTACTAAAATTTTACTAGCTTTTAGATAGGAATGTAACTCTCTGACAAGTTTCTAATTAAAAAAAATTATGAATCAGTTTGAGAGCCTTGTGAAAAAAGTTTCTAAGCGAGCTTTTGAAAAAAAGGAAGATATTATTTCCGTCTCATTCAATTATACAGCGTTAATATGGATTTTTTATTTTTCCGAGTGCTCTCGGTTTAAAAGAAGATTCTAAGAGCGTTTGGTAACATAAAATGGCCGCTTGCTCTTACTGCAGCAAATTAAAACAAGACGGTGGATAACTGAGTCCAGGGATTTTCGATTTTCCAACAAGAAGTTATCGCCAACTGGTAGTTTTTTCTTCAAGTAATTCATTTAAATCCCCGTGACCAAGACCAATGCAACTATTTTATTGAAGGCAGACTCACCTTATTTCCTACTACAAGATAATCATATAAAATGCAAAGGTATTTTACTCATTTTCATAACAGTATCGTTTATAAGCACCATCCAATTTGCTCTTCAATTGTCATTATAATTATATGACAATTCTCTCTTCTGTAGCTTGCTGCAGCACCAAAACCATTTTTTTAAAAATCTGACAAATTTGCTTTGACTTAACATGCGTGATCAGTGTAGTGCAATAGGTCATTTTAAATGGCTTACTTTTTAGAGTAAATTCGTAAGCATTGTGTACGTATTTGTGTTTTGTTAAATCTCTGGCACTAGCACTCATTTACTATTTAGAAGCCATTATTCCTAATTTTTTTTTTCACTTTTCTTATGTTTTCAGTGCTGAGTTTTGGTTAGAACCCGAAAGTTTTTACTCTAATCTATTTTAAAATTAAGTTACAAAGTTTGTCAATAGATATTGTTGATAATTGAAAAACTATAAGCGATGTTTCTCATTGAGTTCTAGAATATTTCATTTGAAATTTTTGCACAAATGTGATAATTTGTTCCCATGGTACGGTTAGCTATGATATGGTTGCTTAAGCAAATGGTAGTTATTTTTCAAATATCCTTTTATAGTTATTCTTAGTTATCAGAGCCATTTGTTTTCAAATTTGTATCTAATTTTGAAGCTTAGTGAGAATAAATTCACTAATTTTCTAAGAAGGACGCAGCAAACCATAAATTTCTTTTTTTTTTTTTCAAATTCACTGGTCTTAAAGATACCTGGTAACAAAGCTTTAACTAATTATAATATATGCCTATTAAAAATTCAGTTCACATGTTCTGAATAAAAATTATTGCAAGTTTTATTATTTCTTTTGTTTAGGTGGGTTTTACAAACATCCCTTAAGTCTAACTATTTACAGTGCGTTATTTTTATTTATCTACCTTGCTGAACCTGCGCAATTTTATTTATTTATCTCTTTTATTTTAAAGTAGCAAGACCAAGATTGCCTGGTTGGCAAGGAGCTAGACTCATGTTCGGGAGAACAAGAGTTCGAATCCAGCCAACTGAAGACTCCCCGTGTAGTAAATAATGACTTGTGCACATTCAATCTGTTGGGTCAGAAAGTCCTCCCTGTTCCTATAATGAATTATACCTCTGGGAGTTCTGAATTGGAGATTAATCGTTCTATAGTTTAGGTCAAAATTGCGATTTGTAGATGAATTAATGGATAGATGACTGGATATATGACAATATAAACGGGTGTGATGTATAAATTTTTGACCATAGATAACGCCACTGGAAAACAAGAGCAATCTCACCCCTTGTCTTATTGGCCTACGATAATAACGACAAATTTTAAGCAGAAAGGAGCAAAAGTTAGATCTATTAAATAAAATCAATGCATTTTTGTATTTTAAATAAATAAATACGAAAAAATATCAACATAATTTTAAATATTACCGGACTCCAGTCAGAAATATCCCACTGAGGACACTTTTCCAAATTACATGGAGACATATCAGGAGGCTTTTTTGATGCATCACAATTGCTACTTAGTTGTCCTAAATCATCGTAGCATGCCACTTGTCTTCGTCGAATGCCCCCACCACATGAATTTGAGCACTGAAATTAATTTTAAATTATGACATTTTTCTTATAGACAAAATTGATAGATTTGAAATGACATATCAAAAGGGTGATGTAAACTTCAAGAACCACCTTCATCTATCAGCAAACTATGATTGAAATTGAAATTAAAAAGTCATTTTTTAAGCTGTTGAACTATTTTTTTTTCACAACTAATTTCATTTGAAATTCATAAAGAGTCATCTAAATTATTCTATCTGAACATCTATTTATAATAGGTCACCCAAACATCTCGATTTTCGCACCACTTGCGCAAATAAATAAATAAATAAAATAAAAAAATAAGCAAAAAATGTTTTCAATTTATAGAATTTGACAGCATTGCAGAGCTAGCAGTTCAGAGTTTTTAAGAATAGAGTGCTGCGTGTTGGAGCGATGCGTTTTCATTGTTGAAAAATATTTTGAGTTTTAAGTCATTCCTTATTCGTGTAATTTCGCGTTTTAGTAAACGCATTCTGTTCAGATTTCGCGTTTTGGTGATCACAATTGGCAGCTCAGATAATACCACATAACGTCAAGGAACCTTTTATTTTGATATGGTCTAAGGTTTATGCCACGTCTAAGGTTTATGCCATGAACTTAGAATTAACCACGTCTTGAAAGAGGAAATTGAGCTCTGTATTAATTAAATTCAAACATATTTAAGAAAATTGTCATTGAAATTTTTGACGAAAGAGTGCGCATACGCCAGCACAACCAAAGAGACCATTTACTACACACCATATACTTCATATAGCACAGCTATATTAGATACCTTATGAATCAATAAAACATTCCCAATTTTTAATTAAAAAGCTATTTTATCTATCAAAATTACTTCTTGCGTGAATTTTGGGGCACCTTGCAAATCGCCACTGTTTTCTTTCGCAATGAATTTTAAATGCTACAGCCAATACAATTTAACTATTCAAAAATAGTACTTAAGTTCCACTTTTATAATTGAATGCCATTAAAATATTTTTGCCTTATTTCTATATAAATTATGTTACTTGCTGGATATATATGTTTTTATTATTATTTTGACATTTTATTGAGAAATTTGAATTAGTAGATAATTTACGATGCACTACTAATTAAATTTTTATTTATAAACCAAAAGTAGTTAGTAGCAAGTGGTAGCAATGCCCCACACAAATAATTTTACATGATTTTCTGAAATAATTAAATTATGAAGGGTTTAAAATGGCATTAAATAGTATTTTTATACAAATTTGATTTATTTCAATACTCAACATAAGCTCGATAGATTCTCTGGTTGATGTGGTTTTGCTCATTTTTATAATTAAATGTAAATTTGCTTGTCTATAAGAGTGGTTATCTTTAACAGGTGGTTAACTTTATAGGTTCCATTATAATTAAGTCTTGCAGTATGATTTAATTACCCAGTTATAAACATATTTTATCTCGTTACCACTTTTGTTGTTGAAAAAGAAACTTATTTTAACGATAAATAAGTATTCCATTATACATATATACCAGGGGTTTCCAACTGGCGGCCCGCGAAGCCTTTTTTTGAGGCCCGCGAACTAAAATATATTAGGTGTCATTGTTTTTCGAACAATTTTCGTAAAAAATATGTATGGGTTTAAAATACTTTTCTTGTTAATAAGAACCTAATTTCCTCGTTTCTGTGAAATTTAACATACCAACGGTGCAAAAAAATTTATTTCTCAGGTTTTGCATCCAAGAATATATTTATTCAAATACGAAAATAATCGTGTATGTTGCTCTTTTTTATTTCATTTTTTTTTTTGTATTTTGTGAATGTAATTTAGCAGGGCTAAAGAGAATAGAAAGGCTAGTTCACTCCGCTCTTAGAGCTGAAGCTACGATTTCCCTCTTCATGACGTCACTGTGTCCACAGATCTCGGAGATCGCAAGCAAAGATATNTGTTGCTCTTTTTTATTTCATTTTTTTTGTATTTTGTGAATATAATTTAGCACGCGCATATCTGAAATTTTCTCGCAGAAATTCTCTGATTTAACTTCCTGAAACCACTCATTTTGGACGAAAATATTTACACACATATTTGCAAATTTAAAATTTAAAATGTAAATATCTATTCTCTGGTGGTTACAGCAGACAAACCTCAATTTTCTCATTGAATATTTTGTGTGCTACTATGTAAGTTTTGATGCCAACCCTTTTAAAGTTTTATATCTTAACAATTTGATATCTGTTGCACATTAATTGTTTAATACATAGGTGCACATAAAAGTAATTGCTGCCCGAATTTTTATTATTTATTTTATATTTTTAAAACTATTATTAATAACATTGAAATATTTTCAGAAATCTACTTCCTATTCTAATTTGTAATTCAGTATTTTTGTTTTTCACAACTTGGTAAAAATCTGACAGAAATATTTTATGTTCCTTCAAACATAAAAGAGTCCTACAAAAAATTTTGATAAAGTTGCGGCCCGCCATGTGATTTGTGTTTTTAATTGTGGCCCCCAGCCTCATGTAAGCTGGAAACCCCTGATATATACACTGAAGAGCCAAAAAAACTGGTACAGGCATGNTGGTAATTTAGCACGCGCATATATGAAATTTTCTCGCAGAAATTCTCTGATTTAACTTCTTGAAACCACTCATTTTGGACGAAAATATTTACACACATATTTGCAAATTTTAAATTTAAAATGTAAATATCTATTCTCTGGTGGTTACAGCAGACAAACCTCAATTTTCTCATTGAATATTTTGTGTGCTACTATGTAAGTTTTGATACCATCCTTTTTAAAGTTTTATATCTTAACAATTTGATATCTGTTGCACATTAATTGTTTAATACATAGGTGCACATTAAAGTAATTGCTGCCCGAATTTTTATTATTTATTTTATATTTTTAAAACTATTATTAATAACATTGAAATATTTTCAAAAATCTACTTCCTATTCTAATTTGTAATTCAATATTTTTGTTTTGCACAACTTGGTAAAAATCTGACAGAAATATTTAATGTTCCTTCAAACATAAAAGAGTCCTACAAAAAATTTTGATAAAGTTGCGGCCCGTCATGTGATTTGTGTTTTTAATTGTGGCCCCGGCCTTATGTAAGCTGGAAACCCCTGATATATACACTGAAGAGCCAAAAAAAACTGGTACAGGCATGAGTATGCAAATAAAGGGGTATAGAGCCAATCAAAGTACAGCGCTGCGATCGGCACCGCGTATATATGACAACGAGTGTCTAGCACAGTTCGTAGATCGGTTACTGCTGCTACAATGCCAGGTTATACAGATTTAAGTGGGTTTGAACGTGGTGTTACAGTCGGCGCACTTGAGATGGGACATAGCCTCTCCGAGATACCAATGAAATTTGGATTTTCACATACGACCACTTCACGAGTATACCGTGAGTATCGGAAATCCGGTAAAACATCAAATCTACGACATCGCTGAGGTCGGAAAAAGATCATGCAAGAACGGGATCAACGACGATTGACGAGAATCATTAAACGTGACAGGCGTGCAACCCTTCCCGAAATTACAGCAGATTTCAATGCTGGGCCATCAACAAGTGTCAGCGTGCGAACCATTCAACAAAACATCATCGATATGGGTTTTCGGAGCCGAAGGCCCACACGTGTACCCTTGTTGACTTCACGACACAAAGCTTTACGCCTTGCCTGGGTTCGTCAACACCGACACTAGACTGTTGACGATTGGAAAAATGTTGCCTGGTCTGACGAGTCTCGTTTCCAGTTGTATAGAGCTGATGGACGTGTACAGGTATGGAGACAGCCTCATGAATCTATGGACCCTACATGTCAACAGGGGACTGTTCAGGCTGGTGGAGGCTCTGTGATGGTATGGGGTGTGAGCAGTTGGCGTGATATGGGACCCCTGATACGTCTAGATAAGAATCTGACAGGTGACGGGTACGTAAGAATCTCGTCTGATCATTTGCACTCATTCATGTCCATTGTGCATTCCGACGGACTTGGGCAATTTCAGCAGGACAATGCGACGCCCCACACGCCCAGAATTGCTGCAGAGTAGATCCAAGAGCTCTCTTAGGCCACCAAAATTCTCAGACATGAACATTATTGAACATATTTGGGATGACTTGCAGCGTGATGTTCAGAAGATATCCCCACCCCCTCTTACTCCCACTGGTTTATGGACAGCCCTGCACGATTCATGNCACCTCTTTGGCACCTACTTCACACATTGATCGAATCGATGCCACGTCGTGTTGCGGCACTTCTGCGTGCCCGCGGGGGCCCTACACGATATTAGGCAGGTATACCAGTTTTTTTGGCTCTTCAGTGTACTATATAGATGACCCATCAAAATTTCTTACTTTTCCCCAAGATCCAGTTCTCCAATAATACACTGTTTCAACACTGTTATGAATAATTCTAAGCGAAGAATTTTGATGTGGGCAATCAGTAATGAAGCAATTTTTTTCATGCCTTGGCTTGAGATTGAGGTCACAGAAATCGTCATTAGTACTATTATTATCAGCTAACAGACATACTATCTGCCTAGTTTGCACACCATATCCACAGGATGTAGAACACTAAATAATGATAACAGTGAAATCATAAAAAAAAAATATGCAATGATTTAAAATTTATTTTCTAATATTGGATGTTTAAAAAGCTAGTCAAGGTTTGAAAATATATATTATTTATTGGTATTAATTAAACGTGTTTTCCTTTCTTTTTCTATATCTAAAGAAACATTATATTGTGTGTATGTTATGTATCAGACTGTTTAAATGTAGTTAAATGAAATATAGAAGCTAACTTTTTACAATTAAAGTTTTTTTTTTTTCATTTCCTAAAAATCGTGCATTTGTAAGCCATCTGTAATAAAATAATTGGGTAATAAAATAACATTACATTAAAATAACATTAGGTAATAAAATAACAAAAGATAATAATAATTGAAGATATAATAATATAACAACTAAAATACTAATGAAAGCACATAACAGCTTTTAAACTAATTTTCAGCCTGTGATTGAATGACGGTAATATGACATAATTTCTTATCATTCGCCTTCCGAAATAAAACTCTCACTTTTGACGATTCAGCAATTTTTGAGCTGTATTACATTAATTTTGAGAACTATTTCACCCCGAAATCATGTAACTTGAGACAAAAAGGAAATCTTAAACATCTGACGAAAATGTTTCCTCAACTCGAAATCTCATCTTAGTGCGTTGTGAGAGATTGCGTACTAGAATGATGAAACTATGATGAAAACTAGACCATCGAAAATAAAGTGATGAAATAAGCCAACAGGCCTGCGTAGCGGTCAAGATTCTGGCCTCCTACCAGGACGATCTCGGGTTTGAATCCCGATTCGGCATGGGTGCAAGGTATCACTCTGTTCTATCAGTCTTTCTTGTGTAGTTAAGGCAACATTGATTCAACTGTATGGTGCCTACGATAAAGTGATTATTGGAAAGGCTAGATATATTAAGTCCCACGATTTTTTTTTTTTTGTTCGGAAAAAAATAGAAATGAAATATTTCTTTAATTTTGACAAATTCATTTCCTTGAAGAAGTAACAATAGTAATTTCGTCGCTTTGACGAAAAATTCGCTAGGAGACTTAGGAAACAGTTAAAAAGTTTCGTGAAATTCGAGCATTCACTTTTTCAGTGTGATTGAAGAGTTTACCTGTTTATATTAGTAGTGTATAAAATCACTTTTTTAAAGTTTATCGTTTAAAAAAATGATTCTTTGGATGAATTTTGTTTTCTTTTATGCTAACGACTTTTTATGTTAATACTTTAACACTTGTAATCGAAATTACTTTGAAAATTTCAGTTTCGTAAATTCAAATTACTCTATAGTTGTCTCAAATATAATATATTTCTTATGCAAAAGTCTAATTCCTAATGAAATGTTTTAAAATATTTTAACTGCTAATTTTTTTTACTTCGCTCCATTTCTCCGCAGTCCAACGTCCACATGATGGTAGCCGACAAGATGTTTTATGACTTGGCTTTCTAAATCTATTACATTTCCTTGCAGGTAAAATTCGATGAGTAACTGGATTTTGGCAAAGAACTTGACGATACATTGAGCCATCCCCACAAGTGGCAGAGCACTATAATTAAAAGCAAAGTTTTGATGAGTTCTTAACTTTTTAAAGACGAGAAGCATTAAAGCGCAATCTAAACTGTGTTAAAGAGAGAGAAAAAAACACGATTTTAGAGCGGTATGATATTAAAGTTGTTTTTCGAAGGCTCAGTCGTTTTTTCGAGAATAATATGCAATTTTTATAACTGCTGTGAGTTTGCAACTGTTACTCATGACAGTTAGGCCAAGTTTAGCCTACCTAAAGCTAGCGCTGTCTACGCTTCTTTTGAAAATGGCGCAAAACGTCAATATGGAGTTTTGTGAAAATTAAAAGAGCTTGTGGTCCAATTTTCTCTTATACTTAAAAACCTTCTCCAATGCTGCATGGATTATAAAAATTTGCAAAAACTGAGAATCCATCACTGATTTTGATAGTTTTCATATAGATGGAAAAATGTCGCCAATTGGTGATTTTTAAAAAAAGTTTAATAACTTTTAAAATATTTGAGTTATTTGCCTGTTCTAAAGCGCAGATAATTCATCACAGCAAGATTATATTTATAGTTTAAAATCATCACATTGCTTCAAGCGTAAGGTATTTAAGCAATGGCTTTTTTATTTTCCTTGCTGACAGAGCATCAAAAAACAGAGTTAAAAAAATTACTTACCAAAGACCAGTTTCCAGTTTTCCATACAGGCATTTGGAGATGAGAATGGGTAATTTCTGGAAGAGGAACTGGAATGGTGTTTTTAAATATATGAGGATAGTCATCGGATTTAATTACGCAGGATGGTAAATTGCAAGGTTTGGTATCAGCAGGTTTAGTAACAGCACTGCACTTTTCTTTCGCCACAGGACTTCCATTTTCGGAACAGTACACCCTACGTTTGGTAACACCACTTCCACATGTTATGGAACACTAAAATAGTTTAAGTAAATCTTACGTTAATTATTATGAAATAAAGAAATCAAAGAAAAGTTATATGTATTAAAAAGAGAAAAGTAAAAAAAAAAATAATAAATGCTTATGCATAAAACAAAATTCGATTTTTTTAAAGCGTATAGAAGCATAGATTTTTTTTTCTGTGACTTTATTTATTTCACTAATTTAAGTTTTATTAAGTCACTTCAGAATATTGAACTCTACTTTTTTTTTAAAAAGTGAAAGATATCTTTTTTATAAAACTGCAAAAAAGAAATATATATAGTTAAGAGTTATTAACCATTTATTCTATTTATAAAGTGATATATTCAAATTAACAACATATAATAGTAAAAAAAACTTGATGAGGAAGACTAATTGCGTTTCATGTGCAAATTCATTTGTCATACAGAACGAGCAAGTTAAGTAATATTTTGAAACCACTCCATTCAGTGGCTTAAGAAAATGTCATAGTAAATAAGTACAAGATCATTAATTCAGTCTTCCTAGTCAATGTGGATATTTTTTACAGAAAAAGTGATTTTTTAATAGCTTTTTCTGATATTACTAATTATTCAAAAGGTGAATTTTTTAATTTTAACGCGAAAATTGCAATTTATATACAAGGTTAAATTAAAAAATTACGTAAAATATCTATCGTAATTGTAAAGAAATGAAATATTCTTATCTGCTCTAAATTAAAAGTAATTTGATCGTAAAATAATTTAGTTTAAACTCTTCTTGAAAAATAATAAAAGAGAAAAAAAAAAGAAAACAATTTTGCATTTTAAAGTGTCCGTTTAAATAATGCACTTAAGTGGAAGCTAAAACACGAGAAAAAATTTTCATGGCAAATTCTATTTCACCTCAATTGGTATTTCAAAATTTAAATTTTAAAGAAAAGTGAATTCTGGTAAATTTGAAGCAAACCATGAGTTTTTAAATTCCGAAAAAAATATTTTCGAATTATCATATTGCATCCTTATTGCGTAATCCTAAGTAATTCTACCATAATTTATTTGCATTTGGATACTCAGCATTTAAGACTTCGTGGTTTACTCTACGTTTACCTGAACTCACGTCTTCGTTTCCTTAAATTTTAAATTCCTCATGTAGTTGAAAGAGTATTTGCCATGAAGAGTTTCTCCCACAGTATAGTATCCTCTTAAGTTTCTGTAAACTAAATAGAAAATCCATTAAATTAATCAGTTTTTACGTTTTATCAATATGAATGAAAAGTTTTAAATCGTATGGAACAATTTTTGACTTTTTGCTCATGTGTAAAATTCCTTGGAGATTAAATTCTTATTCAATTTGCTTAATTTCTTAATCGAGTTGAAAGAGCGTAGGCAACAATTTAGTAGAATGTTCTTAAAAATTTCTATAAGCAAATTTCTGTCAAGCTAACATTGACAGTTTTCAGAAAAAAACAATATTTTGTTGATTTCTGAAAAAAAAAGTTTTTTTTTTCTTCGACAAATTGACTACAATAAAAGAAGCATTAATCAAAATGGATAAAAATAAGAACAACGGAAACATTTTCAAAATTTTATGCAATAAATTATTAATATTATTAAAATTTTACTTAGTAGTAATTAGGTATGAATAAAGACTTAAATAAAGATTATGTAATTGAAAAAAATAAGCTTAAAATTAGGAGTTCTACTTTTATGTTATTCCTTTTCAAGCTGCTTTAAATCATAGATTTGAAAAACTTATTCTCTTTTACAGTATACAGAAATCTCTTAAGTAGCCTTTTTTTATTAATTAATATCTCACAATCGAACTGATTAACAAAACAAAATTTTTGTTATACAGTTAGTCTATAATATGTGTTCTGTAGAGAAAGCTTCTAATAAATGCTTTTAGAATCTTTATCAATAATGAAAACAATGAGAGGTATACTCATGGGGGGCAAATTAATATTTAATTGAGGAAAAAAAGCAGAAATTCTATGGAAATCAGATAAATGACATCAGAGGAAGTCGCAAGCCATTTGTCATAAAAGACAAGATAGGTTTGATTGAGGGGAGAAACAGAGAGAAATGGAGAGACGATTATTAGAAGCATCCTCAAGCACAAAGAAAAAAATCTAGTCAAATCTAGTCAATCTCAAGCTTCAACCACTAATTAAACCTATTTTGATCAGTTATTGCATTTGGCTTCCTTTATTATAATTAAAAAGGCAACGTTTTCATTTTATCTTCATTTAAATATTATTTTTTGACTACCAATCTGTATACATTTTTGTTTTCGTTTTTGGTAAGGATTCAAAAAATGTATATTAAGGGCGGTCTTTTTAGAGCACTCCATTCAGTAGATTGACACTGTCGGAAGAAAAACTTGGATGTTTATAAGTTACTCACAGGTTCCCAAGATCCAGTTTTCCATTCAGTACAAAGAGGAAGATAGCAGGATTCTGATGTTGAGGGGATTCTTGAGTTATTGCACAAAGATCGAGCGACGAAATTTCCTTTGAAGTAACACATGACACGTCGATGGCGTTGTCCTCGGCCACAAGTTGCTGAACACTGTAATAATATGTTAAAATAACATTAAAAGTGGTTTGATATAGATGTAGATTTATATAAAATACGGAACTTCAACTTGAAGTTTATTAAAACTACCATTTGATCCGTTTTTTTGTAATTTTTTTTAACACGTACTTTTTTACTGTATACAACTATCTCATTGAAAATTCCGAATTTTTTTCATTTGAATTCGGAATTTTTGTTCTTTAGCTGTCTAAGTTTTTGTTCTTGAATCTTAAATATGAAGTTGTATTTTTTTTCGCATGCTAAAAGACATTTTTTCTTTAGTTTTTTTTTCAATCCTTTAAATGCATTTTCAGAAAAACGTTGATTCTGAGAAAAAATTTATACACTAACACAGATTTCAAAAAAAAAAAAAAAAATAATGGAATTAGTTCGATTTTATTATGTATTTGAAATTTTTTAAAGAATAGATTTCCCTACACAGGCAACCATATTATTGATCCAGGAAAAATAATTTGGAAATTTATGAACTACAATTTTTTGTAAAGCTATAAGTGAGACATATATAGTTTCTTTTCTCTGCATAAATTTGCTCTTATTATGGAAAAACATTTTATAAGTCTTAAAGATCTTAGTATTTTAGGACCCCATCTTTCCATATGTAAATTAATTGAGGCTGTTTATAAAAACAAACTATTTCTGAACTACTCGGATAGCTTAAGAATACAAAACTTGTCTCTCAGAAATTAACAAAAAAATGAAGTTATTTAAAAGTTATCACGTTGCAAAATGAAATTTTATAAAATATTTTGCATTTCTCTCAATAGTTTTGCGAATCACGTGTATTTTTCGTTAAATCATATATTTTAAGTATATTGGTTGATAAAAAATACCACATTTAATTATTAGTTATTTCCGAATAAGTAATAACCATTAATCCATCTGCGTGGCAAACATGATCATAAAAATATTAAATTATTACTTTTCATTTATAACAAATATGGATAAGTCAGATAATATTTAGATACGAAAATAATTTTTAACTATAAGTTATTTTCAAATTGAAATATCATAACGTGATATGAAATTTAGTTAGGTTACAGAATAACTCGTTGTAATTTGAGTACATTAAATTTTTAAACTCACATCACTCCATTCCTCAGGTTTCCAACTAGGGCATGATTCTAAAGCACATGGTTGTTTATTTATCAGACTGCTATTATTACACTCAGTTTCTGGTAATTCAATACTGTCATCACCAAAACAAAGACCTTTTCTAAATTGTATACCTCCACCGCAACTTGCTGAACACTGAAAATACAATCAAACGAGTGTTAGTTAAATTCTTCTGATTGACACTATCACAGATTCTCAGGCTTTTAATCTATTTGGTAATTTCTTCATCAAAAAGAAATTTTCGAAATCCTTCTTAAAAAATAAAATCAATATAGGTTTTCCTAATTTAATAGATCTGTTTAAAATCTGATTCACCTTTAAATCCTAACTAAACGCCTTGCATACATTTTTTAAAAAAAATATTGCTCGAAGGTATTAGAGAATACAATATAAATTCATTCGAATTATTTTCGTGAAAACAGTTATATTTGTAGCTAATAGAAATTATAAATAATTGCTGATAACCACAATCTCATTTTGTTTCGCAAATAGACTTTAAAATTTAAAATAAAAGAACATTTATTGCAAGGACATATTAACATATTAGAACATATAGATAATTAGAACATATTTAAGTGTTTTCTCCAATCCTCGTTAATGAAATTCTATCGGCTATGACTCGATTTACTATTTAACAATCTACACTGTGAAAAATTCTAAATTAAATTTCGGTAAAAAGTACCAGCACTCAGGGTGCCGGTATGTTTTAAAGCATAGATTCTCAACCTTTTTAAAGTTGCCGCCCCCTTAATAAGCAAAAAACATATCAACGCCCCCCTTTGTGATAATCCAATTATTTAGAGCATGAGGACGGGGGGAAGGGTTGCTGAATTATAAGATACACTTTTAGGCAATTTTTTAAGCGTTAAATTTGCATGTTTTTTCTTTAAAAAATTTAATGTTTACGTTAACTCTATAATTTTCTCCCGGCAGGTAATCGCAGTCTATTTGTCATAATAAAAATAAATACGGTAATGAAAAAAAAANTCGGATCGGAGAATATGTGTTGCATAAGTTCGTTTTACTGCTGGTACTAATGTTGTATCAGATAATCTAAATTTATTATATTAATTTAATCTTTTTTTTCTTTATCATTAATTTTAGATTAATTTTATTTACTAAATGATTCTTAATTTAATAATTTTATTTGGGAGTATTAATATTAAATTTGGGAGTATTAATATTAATAACTTAACCTGCTCATCGTCCCCCTACCGCCCAAAACGTACCTAACGCCCCCCTGCCGCCCAATACAAGTCCACCGCCCCTCAGCGTACTCCCAACGCCCCCGTTGAGAAACACTGTTTTAAAGTAATAACCATTCTTATCGTAACGTGTTAGGGAACAAAAAATCTGATATAACGTACATTTTACAATAATAAATATCTTAAAAGCAATGAATCACTGTAATTTAAGAAATATTACTGTAAAAATCACGGTATAATATTTTATGGATGATGCACCCAAAATGCCGATACTTTATTTCGTAATTTGATCCGGAATTATTTATAGTGTACTCATGACGCTATTTAATAAACATTGAAAAAAAACGTGACTTCATATACAGTACAGAACCCGTTATCCGGAAATCAGAAAACCGGAGAACCAAAAAACCGGAACGAAATTCGATAAATTTTCCCGCCATTTTTAAAACATTTTTTTTTTTCCTCATAAGATTTTAGGATTTTTCGTTCTTTTTTGAAAGATGTTTACCTTACCATCATTTTGGAAGTAATCATTAGTGTATTACTCCATCGTTTTTTCTTCTTTTTAAGATTATTTCAAAAAAAAAATTTTTTTTAGTTGGGTTTAACATTAAAAAAACGGCTTTTTGTAGCGATTCAGAAAACCGGAAAAATCAATTATCCGGAATAGCGATGGTCCCGATCGTTCTGGATAATCGATTCCCTACTGTACTATAAAAAAATAATCAAGATTGCTGGAAATTATCTGTAAGAAGAAAATTGTCTCATATAATTATATTTAACGTTTTATAATTAATTAAAAGTCGAAATATTTACAATTCAAGTTTATATAAATTTTTTTCCTTTCAACAGAGAAACGAATTTTGGTCAAATTATTTTATTGTATGGTAATGAAAATTCTGGAAAAAAATGATAATTTTGGTTATAAAACCAAAATTTACGGTCGATATTTTAAACATTCATTTGATAATTTTTTCATTGATATAGTTTGCAAGAAATTCTGGTTTTCAAAATTATCCGAAACTCAAAAATAAATTTAGACAAATAAATGTTTTTCATGTCATGCTCTAAAGTATCATGATAAAGTTAACACATTTTACTAAATTTAGGAAATTTTATCATTTATTATAAAACCATATTTTATTGCTAATTTTACTAAAATCATCTTACTAAAATTATCTACTTTCGGTAAAAATTACCGTGCATTTTAGTGTGCTCATTGAGCCAGAAATAAGGAAAATTTTATCATATTCTGATAGTTTTGGTCATATTTTTTTCTCAGTGTACAAATTTAATTTAATTTATGAAAATATATGTATGAAAGCGAATGTCACTCGTTGTAAAAACGTGTTTTTAGCTTCTTTAAGTGAAATATGTTGAAATTAATTAGTAAAAAATGCAAAAGTACATAAAAGACAACTTAAAATTAGCGCAAATAATTTACAAAAACGCATTTTAGAATAAATACTAAATTGTAGAAGAAAATAATTGTTACCGACAACTATTATTGTGATAATCTTAGTTAATTTTTGTCTAAGGAAGTAAATTAGCAACCTTATCTAATTCATAATATGGCAAATTAAACTCAGTGGCATGATTCCCCATGAAAGGCCAACGCTTACTGAGCCCATCCCAGTTTTTTGACATTAGAGCAAGTGTTCCGGTTGGGTGGATAACGGAACGGTGCTCAGTTCTCAAGCATGCTGGGTGCTGAATTTATCGACCCACTCACTGAAGGGATGAAAGACTGAGTCAAATTTGCCTGGTTCGAAGACTGAGCCCTGGACCCGTGACATGGGAGCGCAAAGCGCTACCACTCAGCAGCAAGGCTTCATAATAATATGGCGAATATGTACTCTAAAAAGTATTAATTCCAGAACACTTTGTTGAACTATTTAAGTTATAGAAGTGACTCTTACTTGAGACCATTCTCCATACTTCCAATCTTTCATAGTACAAGGACCGAGGCATTCAACTCTCTCGGGTGGCTTTGGTTCAATGTGAGCACAAGCCTGTTCTAGAATTATATTACTTTCCCCAGAGTCCACTTTTAACTGAACACATTTAATTTCATTTGTTTGGAAACCAGTTCCACAAACTGCAGAACATGGTTCTGTAGAGGTAACTTGCCACCTAAAAAAATGTGTGCATGTCTTAAATACAAAATTTTACTGAATATTAAAGAAATCACAAAGAAAATAATTTTTAAACATTTTTCTGCATTTCTATTCTTTAAACATTTTCCTACAAGCTGTGAGGTGGCTTTGTGATTGATGAAGCAACGGAGTTAGACTGTGAAGACCTCAGATTATAGTTTTAAGTATTGTATAGTATTGCTGCTAAAAGGTACTAACAAGAAACGCAACAAGCATATTTGCATCACGTTTCTTTCTCGATCTTTTATCTTATGCAGCTGAAAAAATTATGACTAATATAAATGTAAGTAACAGGTATTTTGGTTTCGGAACGCTTTTGTAATAAGAATAAAAACGGCACAAAAATTTTAAATCAGCTAATATTTTATGGTCATACATCTTACTTAAAATTAATGAATCGTGTCTTTTTTTTTAGTATTTTTTTAGGTTGGCTAAAACTTATAAAATAAACATGAGTTAGTTTTTTTGCGTGCTTATTTTAAGGTTTAAATAACCTATATATACATTAAATTCTGATCAATAATCTTAATTTTTTACGTGCGCGCAATGTTTTCGACAAAAACATTACATCGAGCATTTTCATCGTAATTTATACGCAACTACTTAGAACTCACCATGTAGAAGTGATTACCCAATGAGTTCCATCCACACACTACTCAACCAACCATCCAATTTTTCAGTATGGGATTTATATTATATTTACACCCATTTACAAGGACTTTTAAGGGAGGCTTGCTGTATTGTTAAGCTTAAGTTTTTGTATCTACTACACATTTGAAGTCTTATTTTACAGCGAAATGAGGCATACCTGATCTAGACTTTAGTGTTGCTTGGATATAACGGTTACTAGTTTCATGACAGTAGATGTATTCAAAGCCTCTGTCACAAGCTGGACATGTCTTTCCTCAGCATGAAAGTAACTAGAAAACTTTCATATTTCTCCAATGGGTGTAGTGTCATAAGTAATGAGTGATTTAATATCATCTTTACTTAGATTTCGAATTTATCCTAATCCTTCACTAATAACTCCCAGTGGAAAGGTGTGTCAAACTTGTGACAATGGTTTGGAATAAAGCATGCGAACATGAAGCTCTACACCGAAGAGTCATTACATTATGACCACCCTCCATCTACAACAATGGGCTCGCCCAGGTTTTCATGGTTTCTCTCCCAGGAACAATGCTTTCATGGGGCACATTAGGACCACTAATCCTTATAGAACAATTCATGAAGTCTGTAAGCTACTTGAACATAGTTGCAGACCAGGTTCACCCATTCATGGCAATAGTTTTTCCTGCGGGGGATGGTGTTTACCAACAGGATAATGTACCATGTCATAAGGGTCGAATCGTCATGGATTGGTTCGAGGAACATTCCAGTGACTTTCAAGTCATGTCTTGGCCCCCAAATTCAACTGACCTTAATCCAATAGAGCATTAGTGGTCCTACTTGGAAAACCAAATTCGTGCTGCCACGCTACCACCTCGCAATGTGAGGGAATTGCAGAACCATTTGGTGAGCGCTTGGTACCAGATACCTCACACTACCTTTCAGCATCTTGTGGAATCAATGTCACGGTGCTAGCAGTTTTGAGGGCTAAAGGTGGTCCTATATGTTATTAGCAGGGTGGTCATAATGTAATGGCTCTTCGGTGTATATTGATAAATGCAATAAAGTCTAGATCAGTTATGCCTCATTTCTCCTATAATCAGACTTTAAATGTGCAGTAAATAAGAAATCTTAACAATACAATAGGCCAACGAATCCGACTCAACGGAAAAATTTTGTAAATATAATGCAAATACTGCACTAAAAAATTTGTAGGATGTGGTTGGAGCTTGATATGCAACCACCTCCACGAAGTGAGATTCTGGCCGTTCTGCTCTACCAAAATGAGTGAAAAATATCACAGTAAAAATTAAGAAAAATTTATAAATCAGAATTACATATGCAACTCGAATACATATTTTTGGCTTTATTATTGAGAAGCATATATGTCTTTTAGGTTGTTCTCTATACCCTGCATAATTGTCAAAGTTAAAATTTCGCAGTAAGAAAAATGTGCTTTAAATAACAGTAATATAATTTACTTCAGAATGCACCCATTGTTGCAGACTTTAGCTTCATGCATAGGTCGTTCCAAATCAAGGCAAAAGGGATCATTGACCATATTTCCATTTGTTCTATCGATACAGATGGCCTTCCTGTACTGTTCGCCTATAACCTCGATGAACAAAAATACTAATAAGTGTGATGTCAGGCACATAAAATGTTCATAATAATGTAATTNGAGGGCTAAAGGTGGTCCTATATGTTATTAGCAGGGTGGTCATAATGTGATGACTCTTCGGTGTATACTGATAAATGCAATAAAGTCTAGATCAGTTATGCCTCATTTCTCGTATAATCAGACTTTAAATGTGCAGTAAATAAGAAATCTTAACAATACAATAAGCCAACGAATCCGACTCAACAGAAAAATTTTGTAAATATAATGCAAATACTACACTAAAAAATTGGTAGGATGTGGTCGGAGCTTGATAAGCAACCACCTCCATGAGGTGAGATTCTGGCCGTTCTGCTCTACCAAAATGAATGAAAAATATCATAGTAAAAATTACGAAAAATTTATAAATCAGAATTACATATGCAACTCGAATACATATTTTTGGCTTTATTATTGTGAAGCATATATGTCTTTTAAATTGTTCTCTATACCCTGCATAATTGTCAAAGTTAAAATTTCGCAGTAAGAAAAATGTGCTTTAAATAACAGTAATATAATTTACTTCAGAATGCACCCATTGTTGCAGACTTTAGCTTCATGCATAGGTCGTTCCAAATCAAGGCAAAAGGGATCATTGACCATATTTCCATTTGTTCTATCGATACAGATGGCCTTCCTGTACTGCTCGCCTATAACCTCGATGAACAAAAATACTAATAAGTGTGATGTCAGGCACATAAAATGTTCATAATAATGTAATTACTGCGAATATAAATCAAGCAATAACAGACATGTCTCACTTAGTATAAATTATAATATGCTCATCCTGTGGTGCGCAAAACAAAAAATGGTAGGCAAGATAAATAACTTTTGATCTAATGATTGGATGATCAAGTTCAAGAACTCAATCTTAAAGGTTCGAAAGGGTATAATCTCAAATATGCTAATTAATTAGAGCAGACGATGTTTTAAGTCAAACACAAAATCGCACTATCTCTGAACAGACCTTTTTTCGACAGATTTGGATTTCTGACCCCTAAAATATAGGGGGTAGCCGCAATTGGAGAAATATGGTCCCAAATAATTTAGTCAGGAGAACAATCTACAGTTTGGACCCCTTAAATTTTACTTTTTGAAAATTTCACTATACCTCGAGAACGTTTTAAACGAATTGAAAAAGTTTTGCTTGCAGTTATAAAATTCGTTTTTCCAAAAATATTTCCACACAAATTATAATTTTTAATAAATATTGTTTTGTATTCCCTTATTTAATAATAGTTGAAAAACTTTCGAATCTTAAGTCACACATTTTTGACACCATTCTAAAGATTGCAATATTAAATGGCAAAATATAAAACTTGAGAGAAATCGGTTGAATTGTCCCCGAAAAATCGAATTTTAAAGATACGATCTACATAGTTCACTTCTAAACAATATTTTTTTTAAAGAATTTGAACTTATTTGCAGTTATTTAGATGTAAAAGAAACAGTTATTCATTATTAAAATTTTTAAGTTACAAAATCAATTACAGATAAATTTTTGAATATGGATGAAAAAAAATTTTTTAAAAGCAGCTTTTCTTAGATTTTATATTTTAGAACAAATATAATTCCGAGAATTTAGCATATTTTTAGTAACTATTAGACTGTTTTTACAATTAAAAAAACAAAACCAAAATCTACTTTTATTTTTAATTAGAGCGTCAGAAAAAAATATATTTAAAAGCCATCTACGCCAAAGGGATAAATTTGTATAACGAATTCGCAATGGAACAAAATAACAGAACAAAAAACACAACACTACGTTAAAACGTAAACCTAAAAACGGATGCGGCAGCTTATTTGTGAGCTGATTTGTAACGGATGCCTCAGCTGACTAACCCCATGTAGCGGGAGAACTATAATACGGCTACGAATGGCAGCTCGCTCTCGGTTTGCTTTTTTGAGTTCCCTCTTGTATATTAAAAATTAAATTATTATATGAACACTATCACAAAACCACTATGTTAAATAAAGGAAGTAGAGTGAATATCATTTTCATAGTCTATCTCTTTAAATCTTGCATGTAAAGCTCTTTAAAAATTGAAACTCGTTGAAACATATCGTTCAAATTTGATGCAATTTCAACGCGCTTCCTAGATGAAACACATTGTGATGAAAAATAGTCTATTCTACACAATGTTAGCGTTCAATTTGAGTGGGCATATGGTTCAATTTAACATCTAAAAAGGTTGTTGCAAATATACTCTATTTTATGCTTTTGATTTCCATCTAGTACTGCAGTGAACTGATCGTTAAGACACGGTTCCCAGCAGATCACCGAAGTCAAGCATCCCTGGCAAGCACCAATTGGATCAGTCTGCATGGGGACTGAGGGTGTGCGGTATTGGTCCTCGTTAAACTGTTCTACCGTAAAGTGCTCGACTTCGCGTGCAGGTCGTCGGACTACCGAAGCGGGGGTTCCATCCCCTCTGCAGAGGATCAAAATTATGATGGCATGTCTTCGGATCATCCTCAGGGATATTTCTCAGACCGTCGGCAATAGCCTATTGTGCAGCTCTAGTGCGACGTAAATTAACTACAACAACAACAGCAAGTTAAATCTACATTTTGAGGGAGCAGTTTGAATTTTTAGCCATCTACGATTCACCGACCGGACTGCGTAAGTATCAAGTAACTGGACATGCATCAGAAAGGTTCTGGGTTCAAATCCCGGGCAAGGCATACTTCCACTCTCCATAAGCTTCCAAGGATGTACTTCCATTCTCTGTACTATCTGTCCTTACTGTGGGAGATACGTTGGCTAACATAATATGGTACCCCTGAAAGAGTGGCTAACGAATCTGCCCTTCAGATGCCTGTGTTGACGAAAGGTCATTCCCCAGGTGGGCATTGGGAAAAAAGAACCTGATATAATTGACTAAAGACAAAACAAAACAATCTATCCTCTCTATATTAAGTTAATAAGAAAAACCCACATTTGGTTTTTCATTGCGATTAAGTTTAAAATTAAAGTCAATTCCTATAATGATAATGTGCGTGGAATTGCATGTATAAGAATAGTGAGCAATTCGGAATAATGGAAAATGAAAATTACTGATAAGAATGTAATGCAAAACATGTATCACCTTGGCAAACACTGTTACACGGAGAAAAGTTTTCTTCTAATTTCCATCGATAATGTATTTGTTTATGCACTGAAATTGTGTATTCATATGATATGGATGGAGGATGTAAACTACCAACGGTTAGTACCTGTTATAAATAGGAAAAAAGATTCAAATAAGCATACTTCACTGGTCTACTAATACGTCACTGGAAATTACTTTTTAGTGCTAATTAGAAGTGCTTAAAAATTATAAGTATACAAAAAAGAGTTTAATTTTATTTATTCAATTTTTTAAGCAATAAAAACTCTGCTAACTGTTCCAAACAGAATATTGAACTTTTAAGAAAACTACTATGATATTTTAGGAAATTACATAGTGGTATTTTCATTGATAATTTTTTTTTGCAAATTATTATTTTTTATTTCCATATTCTATGCATATTATTTTATTATTTTTCTATGCATATTATTTTCACATTATTTTTTATTTGTATATTCCTGCATATTCCCTCTTCCCCATACAAAGCAGAGAAAAACAGCAAACAAGTTAAGCGAAGAAGACGAGGAGTTCTATCCAATTTTCTGATTATTACAAAAATAAAGGCATTATAGCTTACCGAGACATGTCTAGATAATGAGATAATATACTAAAATATAACAGTTAGTGAGTAAAAATCATAAGCCGAATTTTATAGTGGATTCTCACTAACTTTTTTTAAAAACATTCCTTTCTATTAATGAATTTTTCGAGTTTTTAAGAAATACGCACATGTAAATATTATATAAATTTAGAAAATTTAATTATACACATCTTCCTAAGCGAAACAAAAATTAATTCGTCAGAACTTCTAATTTTCTGTGGTTGCTTTTTATCTTTTCCCGATAAAGAAACAAATAGTAATTTTGTTGTATAGTAATTTTTAATTGACAACGTTAAAAATAAATTTTATAAACCATGATTTGCAGTTACATGCATGCATTCTCTTATAAAATTTCTTATCATTTTTACATTTTACAATTTCATTTAGATATACGTATTTTTAAATACGGAATTTTCAACTATTATGAGTCTGATTTTATAAAACCAGCAATAGAATGTATGCATAAAAATTTCAAGTCTTAACAACAATCTTTGAAAAAATCCATTTATAAAAATTGTCTATTGTAAAATCTCATTAAATTTTCTTAATTTTAATTGTACCTTTAAATAATAATTCAAGTATTTCATTAACATATATTTTAAATATTTATTTATTGAGGCTTATAAAATATGCCACCATACTGTATTTCAAAAGGAATAAAAAATGCTTTATTTAATATTAGCATAAATGTTAATGTAATGTAAGCAAACTATGAATAATAAATGTGTTATATTAAATTTATAAGTAAGTCTTTTTATTGAAATGATTAAAAAATAAACCTAGCATGCAAATTTTTTAAATTAAAAGCCAAAGAACGCTCGATTCTCAAACATATGCAACATATTCGAAATGTATGTATACTCAGTCAAATATCTTAATAAACAAACATTGAATTAAAAAATGATAAGATTTGGATCCTATGAGCATTTCTCGAGATATTTGACAATATGCATACTTTTTGGTCACCCTGTAAACGTAATGTAAATGATAACTGGACATATTGATAAAAGGAACCACTGCACGAAAATTTGTTTAGGTTCTTTTTTTTTAATAAATAAACTAAACCAAGAAATACTTGTTCATTAATGCAATTATTATTCGCTTAATGGAATATGTATTTAAAACAATCTTATAAAATTAAATTTTGAAAATTTGAATTAAATTTCGTTTTTAATATTAAATTTTGATTAAACTAAAATGTGATGTGCACTTATTCACTTAATTTTAATTTTTTTGTGTACTTATGAACCTCTCTCTGTAACGGGCTACAGTGACTACCTGATTCATTTTAATAAAAAATTTACAGTTTTTTTGTGAATTAAAGACATAAACCACAAGAACTTGAAAAAATTAAAAATGCATACCTGAACATATAAATCATCTTCTAATCTTTTGGATGCGTTGATTCGTTCAACTGCAGTATGAGAACCAGAGTAATCTATCAGGGAACTGGCATACTGAATGCTTTTAGGAAACATTGATATCATATAGTTCCCATTCAAAAGATATTTATGATTTGATCCTACCAAAGCTGAAAACAGATATTTAATTATAAATATATTTTTGAGCTGCATGCTTTAAAGACAAATTTTATTGCATTGCGAATTATAAATATCTTAAGATTTTTTATGCATCATATAGAATAAAAAAAAGACACGAGAAGGGATATGCACAGTGCTATAAAAAAAGAAACTACATTTCACAAATACAATTAATTAATACCATTTTTTCAACAATACAAAATCTTCATTCTGTAATTATGGTAAAACGCATGGCAGCAATAAACTACGATTGGGAGCAATTCTTTAATTTTACGGGTTTGAAGCCATTTACAACTGGTATGGTAAAAAAAAAAATTTATTACAAAACTATACGGCTTTGTAACTATATGAAACTAACCTGGCTTCAAAACCGAAAAAGTTAAATTTAACTGAATATTGGAGTTACGTTATGTTAGGCTTTTCGTTAAGTAATGAACATTAGAGAAAGGTTGTGGTTGAGTTGTGTTTTGTCGAAGGGAATCGTGAGAAAAGACTTCACTAGTATATCTAGTGGTACCATCCATCGTGAGATTTGAGAAATATTAGACTCTTTTATGTTAAGCTGTGCAACAATGCAAAAGTTTAGTTTTAGCACTTTTTTTCTCATCATCTCTTACACTTAAAACCTTAACAGATTAAATATTTAAGTCCGTAACAAGCAGTTTTGTGGTGCTGCCATCTATGCGTGAATGAGAATTTCGTATTTTTATTCCAAGGTTACCAATTGAGGAGGGCAGGACACTAATAACTCCTCTTTGGAATAAATGGGCGTTGGAGGAATGGAGAAAATTTTGCGGTGTCACCGCTGGGATTCTAACCCTGTTCAGTCGGTCATAAGGTTGACAGATTGACTCTCTGGGCTAAAATATGTCTCCAGCAGCAGAGAACTAAGTTACTTAAGGTGTTCGCCACATACTTATTACTAAAAGATTATAAGGCATCCGATGTAGAAAAATAAATCCTATAAAGATATAGTAAAGTAATATCTAATTCATTTTCCATACTAATATGAAATAGAGTGAGCAAAATTTAACAACGCATATTTGATTCTCCCTTTATTTATTGCAGTTACTGTTTTTTCTATTTTAATTAAATAAACTGGAGGAAATAAGGTAAATGCCAAATTAATATAACCCAATCAGTGTTTAAATACTAATGACTCATAAGGCTTTTTTTTCAGTAGTATGTATTTTTTTCTAATAAATCTTGCGCTCTTGTAGTATAAATTTATTTTTATTTATTAATTTTAATAATTATAATTTAATGTAATTTTTTATTACACTTCTCAGAAAGTTACCTTTTGAAGCAAAAGCTGTTCTTTTATGCAGAAGTTATTTTGATAATGAAAGCTGGTAAATAAGTTTATAAGTTGTCCGATAGCATTACTTTATTATTTTTGAAAATCAAAATATTAACCATAATAATGCGTAATCGTTATTCTGATTTAATATGAAGCCGAAGAAAAATATATGCTTTTCTTAAAACTTGCAACATGAAAGAGTCAAAAATTTATAATTAGGCTTTAATATTCTTAGTTAAATTACGAAAATTATCCATTTTTGTAAATTATATATTTTATTTAGTATTGCAGTCAAAGTAGTAGTATTTTTTAAAAAAAATGTTCATGAGCAGTGTTCCACATTGTGAATTATGGTGGGCGATGAGCGTCACCGTGAGCTACTTTTATTTGAATATATTGATCGTTATTTTCAGCATTTATCATTTAAATGTGCACAAAGCAGTTGGGGGTGCGTTTTGATCAAAAGTGAGTTATGATTTTACGAAGGAGGAAATGAGAAGAAGTCGTAGGATTAAATCGGGATATCTCATGTAAAATATAGGCAATTAATTATCTGGGATGAAGGAAAATCTTGGCTATAAAGTGCCATAGATTTTGTTTGCTAGATATTACTTTTGCTCATGGATAATTGTTAACAAACATTCAATATTGCAAATAAAAATAATAAGAGTATTATATATATAAAATAACTACCTAGACAGTTCGCCCCCGCGCTGTTTCCCTTGTATTTATGATCTCATATTTCAATTCATGGAATATGAGAACAAAATATGTATGCGAGTCTTGTATAAAAATTGCTATTTATTTTTATTATTTTTTAACTATCATCCGGTTAGAAATAATTGTAAAAGAAAAAATTATTTTCATTGAGGATTTTGTTAAACATGAGTATTAATATTATTAAATCAAGAATAAAATTTTATTTTTGAAAAACAAATGCTTGTTAAAGATGAAAATTAATGCTTCTAAATAAATAATAGTTTTTTGTTTTAGGAATTTTTTTTTTATTTGCATTTGTTACCTATTTTTAATTTTCACCATAGAAGATAGTCTGTTTTGATATCTAATTGAAAGAAAATTCTATTTTATTATGTGCTTTGAAAAAGATAGATTAATATAACCAAATAAATTATAATAAAAAATACACATGTTTTTTTTTCCTTTTTTAATGACTGAATAGTTAAAATAGAATAATGAAACTTTTAGTAAAAATTAAAATATTTTTTCGATAAATTAAACATACCTAAGTAGTTGTCATCTAAATTATTTTCATGACCATATTGAATAACATCAATATTACTAGCTCCCGCTGGAATCATAACTACATCATTATATCCTGAAATATAAAAAGGAAAAACAGGGAAAAATTAAAAACTCTTATAAAAACTTTTGTTTTAATGCTAGCTGGTGCTGCCATCTAGACTGCACTTTTAATTTAACAATTAATCTGATTTTTTTAATTTAACTATTATTAGCTAATATTTTATTAAAAAAATTATCGTCACATAAAAAATATGCATATCAATTCTTGAATTAAGACATAAATGTATGCCGTAACTATAAAACTAATTTCTTAGGATATTAATTGCTAAAATAGGAAACATGCAAATGTATAGGAAATATCCAAATGTATTCGCGCTGAATCTCTATAAATTTGTTCTAAAGCAAAGTTTTCACGCGTTTCAGGAAGAAAAAAAAGATTTCTAAGTTTACTGATTTCTGTATTTACTTTTTTATGGAAGGATAGATATTTATTCCAAGGTTAAAACTGGTTGTACATTAAAAATTAAGTTTCAAGAATGGAATTTCGACGCATTCTCTTTCAAGTAAACGACTGTTTTCATGACAAAAATAAGTAGTGAAAAAAAATATATATATATATTCTTTCATGAAAACTCATTGTTTATTAAAATGAAAATTTATTCATTGATTAAATAGAAAATAACAGAATATGAATTTAAACTAATTTCAAATATAAATTAAAATTTCTTGCATCGAAATAAGGATTTTAATAAATTAATTGATCATTACGTTATGAGTACGTTATTCAAAGTAATTTAAGTCACTGCTTTAAAATTTAAAATAAAACGATGTTATAATTATTTTATATTGTTACAATATGAAAAAAGGAGGAAAATATAAAAAAGGAAAAAAACTCAAATCTTTTAAATTAATTTTTTTTAAAGATAAAAATTTTTCTGTTAAAATTTTAAAATTATATATTTTTATGGCTAATTCTAAAAGTACAAAAAAAATTGTTTGAAACCTAGTTTCCAGCATAAACTCGATTGACATTAAATGGAAGAAGCAAATACTAAGTTTGAAAATTGTAATAATGGCAAAATTATTCTATTAGTCTATTTATAAAAGCAATCTAACGCAATAGTCTGTACCAATACATATGACTAATTTATATTATTCTACCAAGGTGTTTCATTTTTATTTTGCCATCATCAATATAGAATTATAACAAGCATAGTTTCTTTAATTTGAGGTAGAAGAAAGAAAAAATTCTAGTAAATCTACCTTATTGTATAGTAATGACATTTCCATTAGAGAAAAAAAACATAATTCTGGTTAATGAAATTAAAATATGTGGTATTTAATCCATTAATTTTGTAATTTTTTCTTTCATATTTCAACGATTTACCAGAAATTTTAATTTTCAAAATAATAGTTCCTATTACCACAAATAAAAAAAATTACGTAACAGTAAAGTAAATTTATCTGAATAAATTGTTTTTATGCATTTCTAAATTGATATAATGATAAAATTAAAACATTTTATCACATATTGTAAGACCATATTTTATTGTTAATTTTATCATAATCGTAAATCATAACATTACTTTAAAAATTACCGAGTTTCTTGGCGTTCCTATAGAGCCAGAAACACGGTAAGTTTAACCATATTCTTATAATTTTTCCATACTTTTTTTCTGAGTGTAAGCACTTCGAAACATCTTGTCTTTGATGTTCCTTTTTTAAATTAATATGTATTCAAAGGGTTTATATGTCTAATACATTTCGACAAGAATTACGTAAAAAATTATGTACTTATATAATTTTTGTGACATAGTTGTTGATTTTTTCATAGATTGACCAATATCTTTACAAAATATACCTGGTATTAATATGCAAGTATTAGTCTTTAATTAAGTTAAAAATTTAATATTACTTAAAAAGATTAGTAAGTTAGTTTAAAAACAAATACAGTATTTAGTAAAACAGTATTTTTGGTAATACACTATAACGAAATCTATATTCTTTAATATTTAATACCAAATTTGAGTTAAGCTCTAATTCTTGAAAAGGCGAAAACTAAGTCTGCCTGAAAAAGGGGTTTTCTTATAACTTTGGGAAGAAAAATATGGTCAAAATTACTAGAAATTGATGAAATTTACCATGTTCTCTATGGGAAAACCGAAAAGTTCAGTAATTCTTACTGAAGTGCTTCAGTAATGATTTTTTCTTAAGTTAGCCATTAAATATAGTGTTATAATATGTACCAAAATTTGATAAATGTGGTTAAATTTTGTAATTTTATTATGATACCTTAAAGCGTGGCAAAAAGTTTAATTTATTTATTCGGAAAAATTAACTTTTCAGTTTCATATTTTTAACTAAATATTTGATAATACGAACTACAGTTTTTAACACCAGAATTTTCGGTAAATCGATATCAGGAAAGTAAAAATTACCAAATGAATGGTTTTTAAATACCACATATTTTGCTTTTATTATCAGAATTATGGATTTTTGCTTTTTACCAGAAAAAAAGTACGGTTTTGTATGTAATTTGCATAAAATATTTAATCGTCATCACTTATTGGGTAGCATAACTTATAACTGAGAAATCCTAACATTAAATCTATTGTTTGCTTTTTTGTTGTTTACAGCAAAATAAGGCGTTTATGTTGTGTATTACGATGTCTTTTTCTAGCGAGTTATGGCGCTAGTAAGAAAAAAAAAATCTTTTGCTTACAGCTAGAAAAAAAAATAAATAAATTATTAGGCAGGGAAAGTTTTGTATCACTTTTAAATTGAGTAATTTGGTATCTGGAACAATTGGATAGCAAACAATAATAAACTTACCGTATTGTACTTCAGTGAATTTTCCACGAATCACATGGCAGCTGGTTCCATTTCCGCCGCAAACACCACAAACGTCTGTAACTTCTTTAGAGTTAAGTTTATGATCACAACCTGCTGCCTGTCAGAAATAAATGCAAAATAGACAATGCTTTGTAAGGGTGTATGATTTCATTCAATAAAAAAAATTAAATAAATTGTTTCCAAAAGATAACAGGTATTTGTAACAAAACAAATGTCATAGTTCAATTACCTATGTTGCAAGTAAATAACTTTGCCAAAAATGCAATATTTCAATAAATTTCATGTTATTAAATTTGTTATGAAATTTGTGTTATTGAATTAATTTCAATGCTTTTGTGACTCCAAGTCAGAGAGACAATAATAAATGGTAGTTATACACAGATATTTTCATGAACATGAATAGATTTTTTTATTATCTACATTTGATACTAATATATTTCAGGTACAGATATATATTGACAAAATATTTTATTGGCAAATACTTTAATTAATTTAATGTATCAAATGCGGGAGAAAACCATGCGGAGAAATAGTTTTTTTTTGTGAACTTTTGATAAAGTATTTTAGGCACAGTATATATTGACAAAATATTTTACTGGCAAATACTTTAATTAATTTAATGTATCAAATGCGGGAGAAAACCATGCGGAGAAATAGTTTTTTTTGTGATTTTTTGATAAAATATTTTAGGCACAGATATATATTGACAAAATATTTTATTGGCATATAAATTAATTAATTTAATGTATCAAATGCGGGAGAAAACCATGCTGAGAAATAGTTTTTTTTTGGTGAACTTTTGATAAAGTATTTTAGGCACAGATATATATTGACAAAATATTTTATTGTCAAATACATTAATTAAATTAACGTATCAAATACGGGAGAAAACCATGCCGAGAAATAGTTTTTTTGTGAAATTTTGATAAAGTATTTTAGGCACAGATATATATTGACAAAATATTTTATTGACAAATACATTCATTAATTTCATGTGTAAAGTGCGGAAGAAAGCCATGCCAGTAAAATTCTTTTTGAGCATTTAATACTTAAGTATTTTAGGCTGAGGTATATATTAATAAAATATCTTATTGACAAAGCCATTAATTAATTTCATGTGTTAAGTATGGTAGAAAACCGTGGAATCTCTTGACATCTTATGGCGTTTCTCTTCCCCTGAAATTAAACCTACGTTGTGATCGATATTGTTTTCTAGCAAGTTTAAGTAGAAAAATGTTTAAATGCTCTACATACACTATGTGAACAGATATTCTTCGAAAATTGCGAAACGTATGTTCTTAGTTCAACTGGGAACAGTGGCAAGTCCGAGTACTCAGTCTTTATTTAAATTTTCATATTTCAGTTGAAGAAACAGTTTTTTTAGTAAACCATGATATTAAGCAACATACATGTTCTGATTATTATTTAAAACATTTATTTCCCTTCTATATTCCATGAAGTGATTTTTAAACAACATTATCAGTTAATCGGAAAAATGAATGAAAATCGGAAAACGATATTTAAAAGCATACCATGCATTTTCCATTTATGCATATATCATAAGTATCCGGTCCGCAAGTCGTACCATCGATTACTTTTTCCTTTAACAAAAAGTAAGCTGCTGTTCCAGCTGCTCTGCAGTAAAGCTTGCAGTTATCTTTAGGATCAACTATAATGAAAATTTTGTTTAAAAAAAGTTAATTTGTTACTATACTCAAAAGAGTTTCCATTCTGATGTCAGTGGAAGAACATGTTAAGTGTTATTGAAAGAAAAAACTTTAAAATGTTAAATAGAGTGTTTTTCCTAGAAATGCATGTTAAACCAGAGGAAATACTTGCTCTCCACAAAAAAAATCTACATTAGTGTATATGATTGATATTTATAACATCAGGTAATTTTTTCAATTGAAGTATAGTTGAAAAATGAAACTGGATATATTTTTAATAAAAGCACACATTTTTGAAATTATCCAAGAAAATATTATTTGGTATTTCGTTTAAGATTCATTTCATTTATTTTAACTTAAGTTGGCTATTAACAGACATATTAAAAATAAGTTATAATTGAATAATTATCCAACTCTTCAAGTCTAGAAAACAAAAGCTTAAAACGAGTGTTTACAAGTTGTCTTTTATATTCTCCAACATTTTACAATTTAATGGTCCAAAAAAATACATTATGTTGTAACTTAATTATGATTAATTAATCTTATTTGAATTTTTTTTTGCTGAATTGTACGGCAGTATTCGTTCACAAAAAATACATATTGACACACAAATATACAGTATATTTTACTCTAAATTTCTAAGTTGATATTGTGTTCTGCAAAAGAAAAAAAAAAAAGTGAAAATTGGTCCAAGGTTTGACACTCCCCAATAGAAACGCTAGGAAACTAAATACAAAGCCTTGCCAGAATTAATTAGTGTTCTTTTACTTACAGCAGCTCATATTGAACTGTAAGAGGCAAAATTAAGAGTTTTCACAATGTCATTTAACGTGTTCTTTCTCTGAGCTCTTCAATTATTCAAATAAAAGAAACATATTTTTAGATAGAGATTTCACTTTAGCTTAGATTTCTAAGTTATATAAGGTTAGTTTTTAAGACTGTACACGATTTAATATAGAGTTCTCAGAAGCAAGTATCTGCATATATGGTCTTATACATACTTAATCACATGTAACTATTTTTCAAACAATTATTGCAGAATTTACAAAGAAATTATGTCACGTCACATATGTATGGTAATTACGCATTTAGTTCGAAAAAGAAAAGGCCTAGTGTTTTATATATTTAAAAAAAAACAACTTTATATCTCCTTTACTTCGTTCAAGTTAAAAATAATTTACATTTATTATTGTCATTCAAATCATGAAATTGACAAAGATGGATTAAAGGAAAAAAAAAACTTCGAAAATTTATAAGCATTTACTTAACATTTTCATACAGAACTAGCCCAGACCAATTTAAGCAAAAATTTTAATTTTAAAGGCAAAATTATTGAAAGCTTTTGAGAGGTTTAAAGTCGGTATACTAACTTCCAGTATAATGTGGCACCCATTTCACGTTTACTTCAACTCCAGGAAATCCAAACGTTTTACCATTGAAAGCTGAACATTGTTCTTCTCTAAAATCTCCAGAGCCGAGTGGGCAGTCCTGAAAAATTTGAGATGTCAAGACAATTGACAAATTGCATTAAAGGACATAAAGTGACACGTTACTCTAGAGACTTTTAGTGTCAATTCCAATATCGTAAAGGATAAACTATAGTTTCCAAACAATTGTCTTAACTGGAATATCCAGCTTAATCACCTTTAGAAAATAATCGTGTAAAAATCAAAATAATTGTTACGTGTTTTGTAGATCCCATTCAAACTTTTACGCAAGAAACTAAGTTGCACTATTACGGTATTTGTTGTTATTATAGCTTATTATATTAATCATTTCTTAAAATTGAAACAATAATTAAAATGTTTAAAACATCAAACAAATTTAAAAATATTAATCAATAGGACAAATATTATGTTAATTAAGAAGGTCGTTAAAAATATAAAAGTGAACTTTTATTTCGGATATATTATTTCTTTAAAATTTTATTCCAAGGTTTAAGAGTCTTTTTAATATCATCTACGCATATATAATTCTATGAAAAATAATAAAAATTTAGTGAGATATTAAATAATTCACTTGTTTAACAATACTTTCTACTTCATAATAGCTTTCAAAATTCAAAATTTGAAATTTCTTTTTTTTAAATAAATAGTGGTCACTTTTTTTTAAATTCTTTAATTTAAGTTTAATTTTTTGTATTTTATCAAAGTGCACATATATTATTGAAAGCATTTCACTTAAAATTTGTTTTAAATACAATTTGCTATCAAGGTTTCGAAATATTGAAATTAGTTTTTTCTTAAAATGTAGTGTATTAAATTTTTTTTAAGTAGGTCTAATACGATAAGCTTATACACGTATTTATAAAGATCCCCTTATATTTTTTTTTGCAAACTTAGTGCATTGCTCGTAGCTGAGACACAAAAAATTAGGTTTTTAGTTTCAAAAATATAATTTTTTTAAAAATATTTACTCAACAATTCTTTTAAATAGGTTATAAATATTCAGACTGCATATAAGCTAATTTTTTGCTCAGTAAGCTAATTTTTTGCGAAAAAGTTTCAAAAATATGTGTAAAAAAAAAGCTATTATCATACTAGATGTGAGTAGATGCGAATTTGTTAATGTATTTCAAGTAAGCAAGTATGCATATATTATTTATACGAATATCTTTTTGTGGGATATTGCATAGTTGGCACTGGCCTTTACCGTTTTAAATTTAAACTCGTCATTAAATGAATGCAATTGAAACTGAAAGTCGTAAATGAATATTTAATTGTGAAATCCAAGTATAAATAAATAAATTTGGAGAAGTAAGTAATAGAAATTAAAATAAAATTGGAAAATAAAATTTATGACAGAAATTGATTATAATTTCTTAAAAAATATATTTTCAATTTGAACTAAATAAATATTAGGGGGGGGGGTATTTTTTTAAAATGAAATGTATTGAAATCGAAGTTGGGGTAAATGCTTTTAACATACTGTACTTTTTCAATAAATTATTTCAGATGAAAAAAAATTCGCAAAAAAATTTAAACATTTCTTTTCTCAAGTTAAAAGCTTTTTATCCAAAGATCTAATTTCGTAATTATTTAAGAGCATCTCTAATAATAAAATAATTGATCTAAAAATTATTTGATTTTTTTAACTCTTAGGTTAAAAACAATTTCCAAATCAAAAAATTACGCAAGATTTACGAAAAAATTTAAAGTTTTAGAGTCTTAGGCCAATTGGTAAATCTGAAATTTCAACCCTTTAAATATAGATCCCTTTTTTTAAAAAACCATTTTTATCAAAATTAATTTTTAATAAATAACTTATGTATTCTTTCATATATTCTTTTTGCTAGTTTAATTGCTATTTCAATTTTTTTATTAAGTAGCTATTAATTCAGTTTTTGAACTTTTGCACAAAAATAATGTAAAGATTATAATGATATGAAGTTATTATTCTCTATTAAAAAAACAATTATGGAAATTTCAAATATGAAATAAATATTTGTACATCGCTTTTAATATTTACTATTTTATTTACTGTAATATTAATATTTACGATTTTACTCATTTACGCACAAATAATATGATCAATATTTATTTGTCAAATTCTCTCGAGATGTAAAAGTGCAAAAATTACATTTTTCTCTTTCCGAAGAAAAGAAAGTCTTAATATTATTTTCAATAGGCAGATAAAAATAAATAAATCAATAGGATAGAAACGCTTTGTTCCTCGAGCAAATATAGCTACAAGAAACAAATCAATAAAAACCAACAAAAACATTAATTTATTAATAGGTGTTTGGAAAAAAAAAAGAATGCAAATTTTAAAAATTTTACAAAGAATAAAAAACAAAAAGATTAATATGAAAAAAAAAATATTTAAAATTTCAAAAATAAGAAAATTATACTTACTCAATCTATTTCATTCGTTGCTTTTCTGATAGTAAGCATAAACAACGCTGCTCTTACCTCTAATTCCCAAAGCGAATAGAGACTAACTAACATATTTTGATTAAAAAACTGTATTCTAACTGTAACTAACTGTAACTAAAAAGGCTATATTCTAAATATAAATATTTAATAGATAGATTATAAAAGAAAAGAAAAGTATTAAAAATGAATACTTTTGTGATAAAAGCTAATTAAGCTTAAAATAGACTTCGTATAATATATTAATTATCAAAATAAAATACACACTAATTTATTGATTTTTGGTAGAAAAAAATTACTGTGTTAGTTTTTCGAAAAAAATAGAAGTACTTTTACTTACTTGAGTTTGACAAGATTTGTATCTAATTCGGTCACCAACGCAATATCGCCCACCGTTTGTTGGCCTGAAACACAAGGTGCAAAAAGATTAAGTACAACAACACTTACCTTTGTTAAAAGATAATATAGTAAAATTTCCAACTTATACCGTTTTCAATAAGTAAAAAAAAAATTGCACGAGTTGTATATCATTACACGGGAAAAAAATTCTGTGAAAATTACCATACTTCTGGTTAATAATACCATATATTAGGTATATTATATTATATTTATATAATAATATTTGGAATTTAAACTCTACATTTCGTAATTTTTCCGTTGATATGGTAATTGTTTACCTGATATTCTGGTTTTAAAAATTATATTTTTTATTACGCCACATTTAGTAAAAAATAAAAAGTAAATTTAACTAAATAAATAGGTTCCATGCTGTGCTCTAAAATATCGTGATGAAATTACTAAATTTTAACACATTTATCAAATTTTATCACATATAATTAAACTATAATTTATTGTTAACTTTAGGAAAATCATTACTAAAGCACTTCGATAAAAATTTCCGGGATTTTTGGTGTTCCCTTTGAGTCAGAAATATGGTGCATTTACCCATATTCTGGTAGTTTGACTCATACTTTTCTGTCAATGTAAATAATAGTATTTGGTATTATAGACCCCACACTCAGTCTATATTTGAACAAATTTATTTCTCAAATTGTCCAAAAATGTTATCTATGGTTTAGAAACTATTGTCCTACTAATAGATTGTTGCTAGAGTATTTCGAAGTACTTTATATCGCGATTAATTGAGTTTGAGCTTATTTTCAGAGCTTAAAACGTTGAATTAAAGCGTTAATACATTCAAAGAAAGGAAAACATTTTAGTTTAATAAAAAAATATTTAAAATTGGCTACATTATTTATGTTTTTTGAAAATTAAAGTGCGACTTTTGAAATTTTTATTATGTTTTTAATTACCAGAAAAGTATATAAGCACTACGAATATCAAATCAGATTTGCTCTTTTTAAAGAGAGTTATGCTAACTTCTCGCTCATTAAAAAAATGCTATATAGAACAACGATATTTACGAATATAAATTTTTTTTAAGCTAATAGAAACCATGCAATTATTTGTGCATTTACAATATTTGGTGTCACTGTCATCCTTCTTATATAATTTTAAGAAGATCAAAAGTAACAAATAAAAATAGCAGAAAGAACTGATTTGTTTGTTTGATTTTTTAAGTAGTGTATTTTTTTATTGTAACTAATTTCTAAAAGGGATATTGTTCTTAAAAAGGACTACTGTACTTCGTAACGTATTTAATTATCTACCTGCAGTTTGTCATATTCCACGAAAAATTTTCTTCAAGTTGGAATTCAAAAGCCCAAAAAGCACTTAAACTTTTTATAAAAAATAAAATAATAATAAAAAGGATGTTTTCATGCATAAGTAGTTTATTATTATTTTTATTATTTAATTAACTTAATTCATTTATTTATTGTAAAAAGTTTACGTAATTAATATCTTGTTTCTGTTAGTGTTTCTTGCTTTAAGAAAACTTTTTTCAAACTTTCTATGATATATATATATATGCGTTGAGAAATAAATGAAGCACAACAATTTTTAAATCTGTCAAAAAGAAATTATAATAATAAATAAAATAAAAAATTGAAAAAAATATTCAATTTCCAATTGAAGACGTTGCCGTACGCTTTCAGTGTGACTTAGGAGCTCAGAAACACATTTTTTAAAGATTTTTATGACTCCCACATGAAATTGAGCTTCGGTCGTATGTTTAGAAGTAAAAATTATCACATTTTGTCACAGTTTTTTCCTTACACCTCTCCACAGCTGTAACCATCAATTGCTCATCACCTCATTTTTTCTCTTCCCAAATAAGCAAAAAAAAAACTGTATGTAATTTAGAAAGTTGCATCTTTTTTATGTGTTATTAAATAATTAACAATTAAATGCGTTAGCACACTTCACACTCTAATAATGTTCATTTTTTGTTGACTAAAATTGTCAGGACCAGGGTGATTACCAAATTACCAACCTTAAAAAATTTTCGTGACCTTTTCGCCAAACTTGATAATTTTCACGGATTTTTGAGTTTACTTAGCAAGAAAAATTAACACTGTGCACTGAGAAAAAAAAAAGGAATGACAAAACTACAAGAATATGGTAAAATAAACCGTGTTTCTGGCTCTATGGGAGCACCCAAAAGCTCGGTAATTTTTACCGAAGTGCTTCGGTGCTCGGTGAAATTTATGATTTTTTTAAATTTTATAATATAAGATATAATTTGATAAATGCGGCCATTTTAGCATAATACCTTAAAGCATGGCTAAAAAGCATTTATAAGGTAAAATTTACTTTTCATTTTTGTATTTTTTACTAAATATGTAGTAGTCAGAATTATAATTTTGAAAACCAGAATTTCCGGTAAACTGTTACCATATGTGCAGAAAATAATTTAAATATCGTATATTTTGGTTTTTATTACCTGAATTAAGGTTTTTGTTTACCAAAAATTTCATTACCTGTGTAGTGAATTTATCAGAGTTTTTTCTCCGTTTTAAGATAGATCTCTTCTTGCAAAATTATAATAATAATAAAAATAAATAAAAACTTAAATTTTACGTTATTAATAGCAATTATAAAGCTACTGTAAATACCGTAAAAATTATGTTTTTTCTAGGTAAAAATTTAGATAAATTTATTGCTTTACAAACCTTAATATTTTTTACAATCTCGGGAAGATTTGAGTTAAAATAATAGTTATGCTGTTAACTTTCTGTCATTTTTAATGAAATCGTACTAATGTTTTTGAATTAAACGAGGCTTAATTTTGCTAAAAAATTCAGAGTCATTATTGATCTTAATCATTTTTGACATTTCATAGTTTCAAAAATAAAATGAAATGGATTTACGAAATCCATAATGTGATTCAGGTTAATAGTTCTGCTAATATTAATTTCATCATGAATGCTTATAAAATGAAGATATAAACTGCTTTTTTATAAGTCAAAAAAAATTTACGAATAAATTAACTACGAGATGAACATGATGAATTAATCAATGCTCTGAACTTTAATAAAGGGTAAATATTTTATCGAATGGAGTTAGATAATGTAATTAAATATCAATATTTTATATTTTTTTAACGTATATCAAGGAAAAAATATGTAAGTCAAAATGAAAAAAGTCAGCTATACTCTTTTAAAAATAAAATAAAATGATACCTTGGACTGTCACATTCCCGTATTGATCTTGTGACACCACCTCCACAAGATCTAGAACATGGCCCATAATCTTGCCATTCTCCCCATTCTCCATCTCTAGCTGGTGCAAAGTAGACTGGATCGACGGCGCATTCTCCTCGTAGGCATGACTTAAATATAATAATAAAAAGAAATTAATTAACAGTTACAAAATAACAATGATGACAGCTATAAAATTGAGATAATATAAAAAAGACTACTATGCATATAGTTAAAACAGTGGTGCCTCAGAGATGGAGAGAGGATGAAGTGCTCCAGATTTAAATCACAGTGGTGACTGGTTGATACAAATTCTGCCCCTATCTTGCACTGATCACAGTGTTAAATCAAAATATCATCAAGTATAAATGGATCATGGGTTAGAATCCCCTTGCCATCGGGCTAAACATGGAAGGGTTCATGATTTTTTTCTCCATGTAACGTAAATGTGGATTAGTTCCATCAAAATGTCCTCCATGAAGGTAAGTTAGTCCTTAATGCTTGATCGAAGAGCTCCCTTGTTTTTTGGGATGGGTTCAAAATTACAAAGCTACGGAGTTGAACATTGGTAGTCGTGAACTCAGAATCGAGCCGACTGCTTAGCGTCGGTTATAAAATAAAATAATGTAAACTTACAACTAAAAGACTAATATTAATTACGAAAGCAATTTTTTTCTTGACCGACTCTCAGTCAACGCTGCACCGTTAAAAAGTAAATGAGAGAGTTTATTTGAGACAAAATGACTAAAAAGTTGAACAGCGTTATTTAAATTTTGTGTGAATCTTGGAGATTTTCAAGTTTATTTTGTTTTTCATTTGAAAAACACGAAGCTTAAGCAAAATTTGATACACTCACATTGTTTAGCTTTTTTCGTCATTCAGTCTCGAAATAAAATGCGACGACTCTGACATACGCGGGCTTACTCTTTAATTGTGTAGTGTCGAATGAATGGTGTTGTGATCATGAAAATAAAATTGAGTAAACATGCTACGGTATATTTTCTATGAGTTAACAAGCCTTTATTTATTATTTATTGCCCATTTTTGCCCATTTCTTATTTGCAAACAATGATTGTGGCCAGCACTTTCTGAATAGATAGACTAAGAATCCTTACTAGTTTTGCCAAATAAAACTGGGTTCTTTATTTTTATTGTTTATGCTATTGAATTTTGGTTTAACGTATTAGTGTCTAGAGTAAAAAAATAAGTTTTACATGAAGAAAACGTTCCGAAATATTCAAATTGTACCTTGTTCGGTCCACATCTAGTGCCATCAGCCCATGGCATGTGTTGAGTTCTGCAGCCACCCAGAGTGACATCTTCCATCGTGCACCAAAGTCTTTTGCAAACTGGCATGTATGGACAAATTCTGGAGCCTGATCCAAACACTAACTCACACTGATAGTCCATGTCATATAGTTCTCCAGCTGGTGTATGAATATGTTCATAACTAATTAGTAAATCTCTGTTGGGCTTTGTCAGAAGACAGTAGCCATAACCAGCACTGAAACAATGCAAAATGTACAGTTAAAATGCAATTTAACAACTTTTTGAAAAAATCTTATTAATTGATCAAATTTACTGACTCAAGGAAAGTAGTGATAAAATGTCGGCTGCATTCCGACCATGTCCAAGGATAACTATTGTAATCTAGCATTCTGGCCATTACATGAAGTCTTTGACCTTTATTATGAAATCGATTGCACTTTGTGTCATCATCATGAGGAACTCCCAATCTGAAACATAATAGTACCGCACTTGAATATTTATTAAGCAGATTTTAATTTACTTTTATTCAAAGCAAAACTAAAATTTCCTGCAACAATTCTTTTAATAAATATGCCAGTATTTTAGCTTAAAAAAGATAAACATATAAAGTTATTAATTGCTGCTTTCAAAAGTCTGACATGAAATTTAGAATAATATAAATGGTAATATGAGACCAATGTATATGTTATAAGCATTTGTAATACTTACATATGACCAATTTCGTGAGCAATAGTAAATGCTGCACTAAGACCATTATCTTCTATAACTGCACAACTACTTTCTCTGTCACACGCCATGCCAGATTGGGCTAATCCTGTAGTAATCAATAGTATAATTTATCATTATGAGTTACTACTAATGTCAAACTAAGTTATAACTGACGCCACAACTTCAGTATTGAATTCCCTAAAACTTAGAATGAAAAATCTAAATATTAAACCATGAAAGTAAAAAAAATTATAAACAAATTTCAGATTTTGCTCCCCGTATCATATATATACATATACGAACTCACTAACTCTTGGACATGGGCCCAGTGCCCTACCAACCAGGCTATTCCGGCCCAAAGATGTAAACTATCGGAACTTTTGTCTAAATAAAATTTAATTGTAAAAGTATTAATTTAAACTTAATTACCCTTAATGCACAATACGCCAAAAAAAGGACCTCTCGCAATAACTTTTCATCTAATGATTGAATCTTCACGGTCTAGGATTCATTCTTAAAGGCTCGAAGGGTTGACCTTAGATATGCTAATTAATAAGTACAGACGGTATTTTAAGTTATGAAATCAGACACAAAAACGCACTTTCTCTAAATAAACATACCTTTTTTTCAATGGATTGGGGTTTCTGACCCCAAAAATATAGGATGTAGCAGGAATCTGGGAAATATGGTCCCAATAGATCGGTCAGGAGAGAAGTCAAAAGTTTGTACCTAGTAAAATGTAAATTTTATTTTTTGCGTATTTGGCTGTGTCTCGAGAACTTTTAAAGGGAATTGAAATAATTTTCCACAAAACTATAAAATTCGATAATCTAAAGATAATCCTATACAAAAAATAACTTTTAGTAAATATTTATTATTTCATTTAATAATGGTCGGAAAATTTTTGAATTATAAGGTATAAAATTTTTTGCATCATTTCAAAGGATATAATTTACATAGAAAAATACAAACTTTGCGCAAAATCAGTTAAAACGCTCCTGAGAAATTGAATTTCAACAAAAGTCAGATATTTTTAACTTGATTTCTCAAAAACTATTTGACCGATTTCGCTTAACTTTTGCATTTTTCCTTGTTAAATTATATTCTTCAAGATGATGCAAAAATTGCATCATCTTGAAACAATTCAAAATTTTTTCGATCATTTTTAAAAAATAATAATAAAAAGTAATAAATATTTACTAAAAGTTTTTTTTTTGCTTTGTATTATCTCTGAATAAACGAATTTTATAATTGTATACAAAAACTTTTCAATTAGCTTCAAAATTTCTTGAGATATAGCGAAATACCCAAAAGATAAAATTAGCATCACGGGGTTCAAACTTTTGACCACTCTCTCCCGACCAATTTATTGGGACCATACTTCACAGATTACGGCTACGTCCTATACTTTTGGGGTCAATTTTTTAAATTCCTGGTATGGTTTCATTTAAATTATCTGTATATATTCATTTCAATTATCACTGGTTTTGTTGACATTTTCATTAATTCCATTATCATTTTGCTACAGGTTTTTTTAAATTTATCCATTAAGGGCATATAATTCTATCTGCCAATGACACCTGCTCACCCGGAGGAGATCCTTTTATAAAGATGGTATTTTTAGGCTCTTTGTATTTAAAGAAGGGTCACTGTAGTGATTTTACTAAAGTTTCTTAATGTTATTTGCACTGAGATAATTTTCTTAAAGAGACAAATAACGGTTATTTATACTAATTTTTACAATTACGTGAACTAGATTTTTTTTTGTTAAGANAGAGTTAAAACGTTTCTGAGAAATTGAATTTCAACGAAAGTCAGATATTTTTAACTTGATTTTTCAAAAACTATTTGACCGATTTCGCTTAAATTTTGCATTTTTCATGTTAAATTATATTCTTCAGGATGATGCAAGAATTGCTTACCTTACAATTCAAAAATTTTTCGATCATTTTTAAAAAAAAATAATAAAAAATAATAAATATTTACTAAAAGTTTTTTTTTGCATTGCATTATCTCTGGATAAACGAATTTTATAATTGCATACAAAAACTTTTCAATTAGCTTTAAAATTTCTTGAGATATAGCGAAATACGCAAAAGATAAAATTAACATCACGGGGTTCAAACTTTTGACCACTCTCTCCCGACCAATTTATTGGGACCATATTTCACAGATTACGGCTACGTCCTATATTTTTGGGGTCAATTTTTTAAATTCCTGGTATGGTTTCATTTAAATTATCTGTATATATTCATTTCAATTATCACTGGTTTTGTTGACATTTTCATTAATTCCATTATCATTTTGCTACAGGTTTTTTTAAATTTATCCATTAAGGGCATATAATTCTATCTGCCAATGACACCTGCTCACCCGGAGGAGATCCTTTTATAAAGATGGTATTTTTAGGCTCTTTGTATTTAAAGAAGGGTCACAGCTAATGATTTTGCTAAAGTTTCTTAATGTTATTTGCACTGAGATATTTTTCTTAAAGAGACAAATAACGGTTATTTATACTAATTTTTACAATTACGTGAACTAGATTTTTTTTTGTGAAGAACTGAACTCGCTGTTTGAATTAACGCTCCGAATTTAACAGAAACTTATAAAAAAAAGGTATATTAAACTTAAACTTCCAACAGTATTTTCTAATTTATGAACTGAAATGGAACTTAAACACGAAAAATTTATACTGCTAAAAGTAACAATTGTAATATTTTGTCTTAATTATTATTTTAAACATTTGGACTTCAAAAATAACTCAAAATACTTCTATTGTAAATAAAAATATTTAAAACTACTAAAAATTTTGCGAAATTGGAATGAAACATTAACTAAAATTTGAAATAAAAAAAAGTCTTAATTTGTATCAAAATTTAATCTGAATCATTAAATGATTTATGATCTGTAATAGGCAAAAATGTTGGATTTTTTACTACCTTGAGTGCAAAAAATTACCATCTGAAAATATTCTCGCAAATAATTTTGTATGTTAAAGGGATATCGTAATTAGTAAATGTTTATGTAATGTAATAAAGTAGTGCTTGTACTAAAAAGTATGATACTTGCGACAAATGCAGTGATTTGAGTAAATGATATTCACGAAAATAAGTATTATGCTATAAAATGCCTAAAATATTATTTAATATGTTTAAGCACATAGTATATTAAGAGACACTAACGAATATCGTGATAAATGTTTTCAGTAATAAAATTTTATTGTTTAAATATGTATCAAGTTGTCATTCTAAATATTTAGAGACGCGAAACCTAAAAAAAAATGAAACTAGTAGCACAAAAATGAAGAAATTTCATTAAATATCACTGAATTTGGTAGAAAGCGATATTCCCATGTTAAGATTTGAAAAAATAATGAAATGTATGAACCCTAACTCTAAGCATAGGCTTCATAAATAAATGGAATACACTGATCTATAGTTTTATGTGTGAATTACATTATTAATTATGAAATTGAATAATATAAACTCCTATTTAAATGCAACTAGACACTTTACACGTGATGTTTAAAAACTACTTTAGTAAGAAGTTTATGATAATTTATCATTCAAACCATTTCGTAATTAGAAATGAAGTTTCATTATTATTTCATTTTATTTATATCAGATCTCAAAATGAGAAAATCGTGAGCATCTATTGTTTCGAAAACAAAAGTAATGGTGATAAACGTGCTTTGAAAACTTGTTTATTTTCGGTAAGATGTTGTTGTCGGAGCATCTGCTCTTGTAATTAAATATTCCTATTCAGTTTTAGTTTCTAATAAAAGAAGATTTTTTTTTCATTTCAACAACAGTCGAATTTATCACATTTCAATTATTTTCTCTGAATTACACAAATCACAAATTCATAATATTTTCATTTGTTAAGAGAAAATATTTTTTTATTCTCTTCCGTTGTTTATGAGAAAGCTTTTAAAATAATAAATATTAAAATATTGAAACGTTTATTTGTAGCAATTGAAAATGGGGAAGTTGAAAGCTTTCTTCTCTTTATTAAAATTGATATAGATTTTTATATCAACGAGGAAATAGGAATTTTCAGGAAAGCTCATTTTGTTTTAAAACAGAATTGAAATGATAAATAACAAGTTAAATAAAGGAATGAAAACAAAGGAGAAGTATTAAATTTATTTAATTTCTTTGTTTATTGCTTTGCTTGTATTACTTCAAACAATTTAATCAAAATAACTACAAAAAGATTATTCTAACATATACTGTTTGCCTGCATGTTTACAAAAAAAAGTAGTAAAAACTTGCACTGTTGGAAAAACACAAAAACAAGATAAATAAAAATCTTGTCAGGAGCATGTCATATTCATATCAATTTAAGTTTAAGATTTGCGGTTTACCAAATTAATGAAATTATTAACCAAATTAATAAAAAACGGTTAAAGTTTTCATCTTTACATGAAAATAAAATGAACAAACAATAAAAATAAAACCCAAAACAGAAAAAAAAAAATTTGAACTTGCTAATAACGAGCCTTGATTAACCGAGAACTCAAATTTAACGAAGAAATTAGAAATTCTTAATTGATACAGTGGACAACGGTCCATTGGAGCATAGCTCGCTTTTAAGTAGCAAACCCAGGTTTAAGCGAGTGATATTTTTGTGATTCCTAAAATTTCACTTAATTTAATATTTTTGGCACAGGTAGAAAATAATTTAAATAAGTGCTCTATTTCGTTAAACTGTGCTACCGCAAAGTGCTCGACTTCGCGCGCAGGTCGTCGGGCTACCGAAGCGGGGGTGCCTTCCCACCCGCAGAGGATCAAAATTGTGATGGCATGTCTTCGGATCATCCTCCGGGATGTTTCCCAGACCGTCGCCAATAGCCCATTGTGCAGCTCCAGTGCGACGTAAATTAACAACAACAACAACAACAAGTGCTCTATCTCTAATTTAATACGCGTTAATGAACTTTTATGATGTTTACGAGCACTTTTTTGTAACAAGCAAATTTTCCTTTACCTTTCTGCTCCTTAGAAGAGATTTTCACTATAATTTCAACATGAACAAGAAAGCCCCGAGTCTGAAAATTTAAATTATCAACTATTGATCGACTGCACGTTGGATTCAGGACATGTC